ATGGACTTTGAGAATGCGGTTTTTCAACATGCTGCTGAAGTTTCAGACCAAGCTCTACCACCACGATGTCGGGGGAGGGCACAGAGATTGAAGCCACTTCGCCAAGAGCTTTGCACACCAACCAGCAAACCTAGCCGTGAAGGTGAAGTACGGGCTCAAAACTCAGCAGCTGGCACAGCTACCAGAATCTGGTTTCGACAGCTTCGCAGGTTACAAAGCCTGAAGCATGCAGTGCAGGCAGCTAGCCAAACACCCTCAGCCATCACCTACAGACTTGAGCTGTGGGAGGCGATCAAGCGCTCTTCGGGCTTTTGCCCCAACTTCCCACAATGGTGGGGTGAACAACAACATGCGGTCCATGGAGTACCAGAGATTTTGCCGGTCACTGTTCCTGAAGAATCGGCCATTGCCACAGCCATCTATGACAGCTTCCTTCTTCACTTCCGAGCTTTTGAGGCATGGCACCTCAATGAGCGTTCCCAGAGCTTGAAGTTGAAGTATGCGGGCTCACTGGAAGCAGTCTACATGGATATGCGCAAAGACCCAAGACCGGGCATTGAGAACATCTGGAAAGAGAATGTCTACACCATTTTGGATGTGGATTATCAGGGCCTTCAAATTCATTTAGACAAACCTGTACAGACCAATTTTGATCATGTCTGGTATCATGGCCAACATGCTTTTGCCATCACTGCAGTTTCTGGAGATGTTTGCACAGTTTTATCTACGGAGAACATTGCACCAGGTGATGAGCTTGTACAACGTGTTTTCTTGACGGATACCAATGACATCCTTCAAGCTTTTTCTGAGCACTGGAAACCTAGATGGAGCAATTTAGCCAGCATTTCTGAAGGTGATTGGCACCGTATCATGCAGTTCGTTCAGCACTACATGCCTTCTCATGCCTTCACATGTGAACCTTTGCAAATTACAACTTGGCAGCAAGTAGTCAAGAAGTTCAAACAGAAGGCGGCACGAGGGCCTGATGGTTTTTCCAAAGATGATCTGAAGAACATGCCGGAAAGCCACACCTCCTCTTTGTTGGCGCTGCTCCACTCCATTGAAACCACTGACACACCATGGCCACAGCAACTTGCGTTTGGTACAGTGATTGGTCTTAGCAAGGTGGAAAATGCACATGAGGAGAACCAATTTAGACCAATCACATTGTTTTCCACTATTTATCGTACCTGGTCACGTTTGAGAACCAGGGAGCTGATCAGACAGCTTGCTGAAGTCATGCCACCAGAAGCACTTGGCTTCCTACCACATCGAGAAACAACAGAGATATGGCTGGTGCTCCAGGCTCATATCGAGCTCATGTTGCAACTGCGTCAAGACTATGCAGGGCTCTCTACAGACTTGAAGAAAGCCTTCAATCACATTGGTAGAAGCCAGGTATTCATGACTGCGGAGCATCTTGGACTCCCTCTTCAGCTTTTACAACCATGGCGAAAATTTTTGGGGCAATTTGTCCGGAGATTTGATATTCATGGATGTCTCGGAGAAGAGATGTCATCAACCTCAGGATTTCCTGAGGGATGTCCGCTTTCAATTGTGGCTATGCTCCAAGTTAACTGGTGTTATCATGTCTACATGAGAGCTTTCTGTCCAAAAGTCAACGCATACTCTTTCGTTGACAACCTGACCTTGGCGACCACAGAAGCCGTTTTACTGGTACAAGCCTATTTTGCTTTGCGTACAGTTTGCCTTTTGTTTGGCCTTGAGACTGATGATGAGAAAACCTTCGTTTGGGCCCTAACAAAGACTATGCGCGCAAGCCTTTCTCTTTTAGGTTTCCCATGTCTGAGTGATGCCAGTGAACTTGGGGGTGCCATGACTTTTGGGATTTCACGAAGAACTCGAATCCTCAAACAACGTGGTCATGTTTTGGTGACACGCTGGCAGAAGCTGAAGCGATCCTTCGCTCCTGGGCCACAAAAACTCTCCATGTTGCCAAAGATTTTCTGGCCGCAAGCTTGGCATGGCTCGGCGATCTGTCTGGTTGCTGACAGCTACGCACAAGAACTTCGGCGAGAAGCAGTTAAGGCTTTACGGCTGAATGGGGCTGGGTCCAACCCCTTACTGCGACTTTCTTTGGCAGATGACATGCAGGCTGATCCTGGCTTTTATCAAGTCCATGCTTGTTTGGCGACTTTTCGAAGAATGCTCCACAAATGCCCAGACCCACTGCCGATGTGGCAAACTTGGATGGATGGATATCAGGGACGTTTGATTCCGGGGCCTTTCTCACGGCTCATTCAATGTCTTGCCTTGGTGGGTTGGGCGGTGGACATGCCACCTTTTTTCCGAGATCATGAAGGTCATTGTTGGAACCTCAAGATGGTGGATAACAAAACTTTGAAACTTCTTTTGGAAGATGCATGGCTTCAATACGTTGCTTCTCAGGTGCGACACCGCACAATGAAGGGGCTTGTTGGCCTTGAGGGCTTCTTAACCAAACTGGATTGCAAAACTATGACTGCCTTGGACAGAGCACGTATTTCAGCACTTCATTCAGGGGCCTTCATGACCAACTTTGAGCATGCGAAGTTTGACATTGAGAAGTCTCCGATGTGTGCACTGTGTCATTGCGAAGATGATCGTGAACACTGGCTTAGATGTCCCAGATACCAGGCACTTCGCAATGACATCCCAGATTGGTGCCCAGATAACTTGGAATTGCCATCTTGCACTTTGCACCATCTGCTAGTGCCCAGACAGGAGATTTTGGTGAAATGGCGTCAGATTTTGCTTGACACCGCCAAACATGGCCATGTTTTTAGTTTTCTTCCCCCGAAGTTTGGGTACCACCACCTTTTTCTTGACGGGTCCTGTTTCAATGATGAATACCCAATGTTGAATTTAGCAGCATGGGGGGTGATCAACGCCACGATGGGCGACATTGTCACGGCTGCTCCTCTGGCGGGTCTGGCACAATCCATTGACAGGGCAGAGCTGATGGCCGTGGTGGCCAGTCTCCAATGGGCTGCGGGCACAGAGCTTGGCCTTTGCCTCTGGTCGGACTCACTTTCCACCGTCAACACGATGGAGTATGTGCTGCAACATGGGGCTCTTCCAGATGGGATAGAAAATTTGGATCTGTGGCAGCAAGTTTTTGCTCTACTACATGATCGAGCAGGGCTGAACACCGACGTTAGATGGATTCCTTCACATCTCTCGAAGGAGCTGTGCGAAGATCCTTATGAAGAGTGGGTTGCTCGCTGGAATGATGAGGTGGACAAATTGGCAGTTTACACCAACAGAAACCGACCCAAGGCATTGTGGAAATGCTATGATGCTGCAAGCTCGGCTCTGAATGGATGGGCGAAGCGACTTCGACAGCTTCGAGAATTCTACTTCAAAGTGGCAGAAATGGAAGTTCCAAACACAGCAGACTTGGAGGAGTGCGAGAGCATCAAGTCATCAGACGATGATGAGATGTTGTGGCTATCATGGGAAGACCATCTACCGGTTTCCTGGCAAGTTCAGTGTCTACATGGACATTTCAAAGTTCCCGGTGCTTTTTTGACAGAGATCATTCACTGGATCTGCGCTGCAGAACGTCTCGATGGCGCAGTGAGGGTAGTGAGCGACTTAGAATTAGTTTTTGCGCTGCTCCTAGACAAGGAGGTTTCATTTCCTTTTCCAGTGGATGGTACGTTGGCTTTACACATGCGCAGACCTGATGACATGTTCCAACGACCCACAGTAGCTATGATGCTAAGGCCCTTGCAACATGCAACGCATAGTATTCATAGGTTTTTTTCTTTCGTGATCAGAACTCCAGCGCTCCCCAATCCTGAACTTGGGGTGTACATGAAATATGAAGGCACACGATTGCGAGTGCCAAATGAGCTCTGGGGTCTTTTGAGATCACGTGTGCAGCTTTTCACATCCAAGAGGGCTGTGAGGAAATCCCAGGACCTGGCGCGGCCTGCGCCATGAAGACAGGACTGTTGCTGCCGCACTGCTTTGCCGTGTGCAGCAACTGCAAACCGTCCGAGCTAAACCTTTTTTTTTTCGAAAAAAACATGAGATTTATCCAGACAAAATTTATAAATCGATAAAATTTACAAAAAATTATTACAGAAGCTCCGTCGCTCCGTGTCCCCGTGGCATGCGCTGCATTTCCCGCAACTGATGCAACCCGTACGACGACTGGTACGAATTGCTGGTTTTCTGCATGTTTTTTGCTGCACCGGCATCCATATTTGGAGAGCTCTGCCCATTGTGCCTGGGTCCCATGTTTACCCATGTTTACCCAATTTAGAACATCATTAGAACATCATACAACTTTGGTAAAGTATGGTAAAGTATCTAGATGGGATTAATGAAGCAGAGTCTAACTTTATCATGAACCTGGACACAGTATACACAGTTGACCTATTTGGAAGGCCAAATGCAGCTGTTCAGCAACAGGCATGGAATTTGAGACAGTCTAACTGGTAGAGGCATTACAAGGCGTTGGATGGTTCATCATGGTTCATCAAAACAAAGCAAAGAAGAACATGACATGTCATGACATGTCATGACGGTCATGGCGGTCATGGCGGTGGTGGCCCTGAGAAAGCAGAACTCTCCTCCCATCTTCCTGCCATCTGCCGAAATTCGATTCCGGAAATCGATTCCACTGTTCAGGTCATCCCGGAGTCATCTGACCCGTCATCTGTACAGGTCGTGTGTATTCAAATAACCTTAGAACTTTGACGCCAAGCTGGGCGCTGACAAGAATTGACAGAATCAAAACGACCCGGTGTGAGTTGAGGTCAGCTGTTGAGCTGTCGAGTTTTTTGCTCATGACATCAGGCAGCTAAATGAATTAAATGAGCACAGAATGTTGTGACAAATATAGAAGGTACCAAATGCCCGTCATTCTATACGTAAAGATCCCTTCCACTATAGATGGGTAAGTAGATAGCTAAGTATTGTAGATAGCTAGGTTGTGCTACGTCGTGTTATACAGATGTGAGATGCGATGGGTCGTGCTTTTGGCTCAGCTTTCCGTTATAATCCGCAACCGGAGGTGAGCCTGGGCATGGGGGTTTCCCAAAACCAATTTCGAAACCAGTTTCTGAAGCTGTTTTAGAACCCTTTTTCGAACCTATTTTATGCAGTCTTGCTTCTGACGTAATCTTAAACCTCACAGACTTTAGCGTTGCGTGTTTTTGTAAGTGTCAGCTATTCGTTCGCTCTTCAATAGCTATTCAATGCTCAGCTCAAAAGACGCAGGCATGGAAGACGAGGACTTCTATGTGCGTTACTATGTTGGCCACAAGGAACGCAGTTTCTTGGGAAATGGCTACGGATGAGGACAAAGAACGGTGCGACAAAGACTACCCAAGACTTTCATAATAATTGCATAAAGTCTATACATCAACATAAAGTCAATCATAAGTCCACAAGATGAAGACACGAAGAAAAAAGTCTGCAAAACTGACAGAACTGCCAATCCCATCTTACAGCGACTTCTTGATCCTGCAGGGCAAGTTTGGGCATGAATTCCTGGAGTTTGAATTCCGACCCGATGGCCGGTTGCGTTATGCCAACAACTCGAACTACAAAAACGATGCTTGGGAGCTCAGATGAGCTCAGGAAATGGTCGAAACGTGTCGAAACAGTGCCACATTGATGACGTGACTCATGATGTCAGCAAATTGTTCTGTAGGATCAATGGAACGAATCAGGAACGCAACATAGACAAAGATAGACAAAGCATCTTTGAAAGTCTTTGTGTTTTGAACATGCTGCAGCATGTTGCACCTGAGATTGAACCTCCGTTTCTTCACTCAGAAAGCAGCATCGTGTTAAGCTGGGCAGGTCATGATCCGGAAAGAGGCACATGTGACGCAGGCCCAAGAGCCGAATGCAGAGCAATTGGCCCATGCCGCGTTTTGACAGACTTTGACAAACTTTGACAATACGATACAGATCGATACAGTGTACCACACAGTGTACCATAGAGTGTACCATACAGTGTACCATTTTGATCCATTTTGTACATCATGTCTACAATGTCATTCAGAGTTCAGGCTGTCATGAAGGAGTTGAGGAAGATGATAGAGGACCGATGAGAGCAACACGTGCTTTTCTGCGGCTCCCCTTTCCTTACATATCTTATATCAGGATTATCAGGTACATTTTGATCTCAAATTCTGATATTTGTGCAGCTGTTGCAAAATGTCACAAAGGTCCGGTCCTTTCTTTCTTTTTTTATACTCATTGCCCTCCACAATTGGTTTGTTCTTTTTATTGCCCTGCAGTGCATCAAAAACTACTACTTTTCTTTTGTTCCTCTCTGCGGCTATTTCTTTGAGGCACTTTACATGCAAGACATTCTGATATTCTGACTCTTGAGTGTTGCTGTCTAAGCATGTCTATTCTGATATTCTCGCTTGAGACTTCAGATTGAGATAGGTGCGTGATTTCAACCTGCATAAAAAAAATGAAAGATTCTGAAAGGACAGTGAAATCCTCAAGGAGGATGACAATCATTGGCCGGCGCCAGACCGCATTGGCCGGCAAGAGCTGGAAGTTGTCTGTGGCAAGGACCGACAGAACCGTGATTCGGATAGATTCGGATGGAAAACGAGTACAGATTGTTTTTTGAAAACGGAGTGCCATGAATTGCGGGCAATGGAAACCAAAGGGAAACAGGAGGAAGACGAAGGAAGACAAACAGAAACCGTCTGGAAAGATCTAAGATGGAGTCTAAGATATTAATTATACGATTAAGATGATAACTATGATAACTTTAAAGTCTCAGCCAAAAATGGTAGGAAGAGGCGACAAATGGCGACAAACTATAAACTTGTCAGGAGCACATCTCCTTCACCACATCCAAGATCGGATCTCTGGCAGATGTACAGGCTTCAAAGGCCGGGTGCAATCGGGTGCATATTTTCGCAAAATATCATTATATAATATTATATACATCTCCCCGAAATCTCTCACACCAAGAAGTGAAAATGATCGTTTTGGGGAAGGTGTTCATATGTTTTCATAACAGGCCATCAACGCAGCATCAACAGACCACTTTCACTTCTGGGATCTTGTTGGTATTTTGAAGTTGATGTCCTGCTGATGTTTCAACTTTCCTGCATTGTCTTCCACTATTTTGATCCCAATTCCGATGGAACAAGACCCATCTATCTTGCAATGCGCTACCGACTTGTCTGCGTTCCAGCAGACTTTCAACTACTTTTTGATGCTGAATCTGGAAAGAGTCAAGGATAACAAGAAACGGAAGTTACAGAGTGCACGTTACAGAGTGCACTCAGAGTGCGAGATCCTGTTGGACCATGGGGTGACGAGTAGGGCCCATGTTGGAACATGTTGGACCACAGGATCCTGAAGGTCTCAGAGTCTTCTACTACCTTGTGCAGGACGCCATCTGTACTAAGCACTGTACTAGTCGTGGGATGTCGTGGGGACATGGATGGACATGGTGACATGTTCTGTTGAAGCATCTTGAGATATCTTGAATCTATGTCGTTCTTCTCATGTTCATTCTTTTTCCTTTCTCATCCTTTCTCATTTTTTGACTTTGTTGAAGCTATCTCTGAAGGATCTGAAATGTTTCGTCTTCAGCCTGATTGGTCTGCACTTCCGAATCAAGCCAGTCTGAGGGAACGGCATGTGACATTATAATCCGCGGAGCAATGGCAACCGATGCCAATTGCAGTGATTGCAGCCATTCTCGTCTGAAAATTGTACCAGAAGCAGTCAAGATGCTTCAGCAACTGAATTAATAATTAATATCATTCACCCAGCCATATACTGCCGTGAATACTGTACAGCCGCTTGCAGCTTGCAACTTCCTTGCGTGATTCTCCCCTCCCTAAATCTTCTGTAGCTTTCAGCCCAGCAATTCTGCACTGCAAATTCTGATTTGGAAGCATGTCAGACTTGTTTAGATCTCACTTGCAGTTTGTCAACTTTCATCGACCACTATACTTATTATTATTATACTCCTAGTATGTTTGAATATTTTGAATTCGACAATCAAATTATGAAATTCAGCCTGCTCAGAGAGTTGAACTTGGACGTCGACATTTTCTGGCTTGATTCTGATAGGCCCTGATAGGCAATCACACAAAGTCACACAGACTCAACATGAGAGAAAATCCTTTATGCATGACCGTTCAGTTGTAGACGGTTGGGAGCCGCAAACGTTATAGAGTATTGCAGTAGAGTGCAGTGATCCTCGATTGCTCAAACTGCAAATCTCAAGATAAGTTAGTGGAAAGGATTTGTAGAATTGAAATGAAAATGAGAAGAACAAGGCTAGTCAGCTAGTCCCCAAAGAGAGACATCCGGTGAGTCCAAAATAAAGGTGGCTGACATGTCACCATGCTCTCCCGGCCAACAAGCCATGCCCTCCGCCACCTTCTTAGAGTTTCCAGCGGGAGTTGTCAGTGCAAGCCAGAAAGGTTTTCAGGCCCAAGTTGGGCCAGATTGGTTCAAGTGATCAATCAGAAATGTCAGATTCCCCATGATTCCCCAGAGAAGAGTTTTTGGCGGAGGAATTGGATCCATTCCATGAATTCTGAGAGAAAAACGAAGACACCATCAACACCAAAACATTTTGGAGGAAGGCCTCATCAATTGTCGTTGTCATTGATAGTCCTGAGTCCTGAGAAGAGAAACGCCACCGTTGTCATCATCATCATCATCACCACCATCATCGTCTCCATCACCACCGTCATCACCTCTACCTTCATTATTTATCTTAATTAATTATATACCTTGTTTGTTTATCTTTATTGCATTTCTCATTGAACCTTCATCTTCAATCTTTAATCATCACCATCACATTGAGAACGCCTCCACACCACCACCAGAAGCAATATGTAGGATCAACAAAGAATTATAGTTTGTTGTGAAATACTTATGAACAAGACGTGAATGATGCCCCAAAACGGGCTCGACCCCAGTCTTGATTTTGGAGCTATCATTCGTCAGTTCCGTGGAACAACATTCGTACAATATCATTCTTGCCGTGCGCCGTGCATCTCCTTGCCCTTGGCATCTTTAATCATCTTTAGCTGTCCACAATCATCGTTTAGATCTTTGATCCGAACTGCCCGAACTGTCACTATAGTCGTGGTTTGTCGTTGTCGTCATCATCTTCCTTGTGATCTTGAAAGTTGTTGCATGTTGTTGCCATCCTCATTTTGGGGTTGATGATGGTTGATGATGGTTGATGTGTCCACTCGCGCTTCCGGTGTCCATGTAGGGAATCCTTTGCAGAGCAGCGTCAAGACCTCCATGCAGGAAAGTTGGGGATGAAAACATGATGAAAACATGATGAAACTAAGCTGAGTCTGCGCAACTGAAACCTGCCTCTGTGGAAGCACGCGCAAGGGCTTGGGGAAGAGCAGGTAAAGCATCCGATTCTATAATTATATTATAAAATATATAGTCATATCTATAATGAGTTAAATGTCATTCATTTTCGAAGGTTTGTTCAACTCCGAACAGATCAGCTTCTTTTTCTGGAAGCAGAAGCAGCGCGGATGACAGCGCGGAAGACCTGTAGGATTGATTTGAGCATGGAGAAAGCCAGAGAATAGCAGAGAATGGCAGAGAATGGAAGGGTTGTCACGGGTTGTCTTCAAGTTGTCAGGGTTGCTCTGGAAGCATCTGGAAGCATTTTCAAACTTTTTCAAACTGCTGAAGCATTTTAAAACTGCTGAAGCATCTTCACTATGCTCCACTTTGGTAAGGCACTTCGCTGGGCTGTTGCCTGGCCAGCTGCCTTGTGCTCATCCCATCTCTTCGGCAGTGCTTTTCTGTGCAGGTGCTCAAGGTCAAGTTGGAGAAACGATTCGTGTCAGAAAGGAACTTCCTTGGATTTGCCTTAACAAAACTTGAGATCCTTGAGCTGTTATGTTTTATGGTTTTTATGTTTTGACCAAAGCTTGAACAGTATGACGAGATCCATGTGCTGCAGAAAACAAGCAGACAGAAAGCGTTTTCCCACAACGTGTCACTCTTCAATCATCTTATATCACACAGGTGCAGCCACTACTGCAGACTGCGGCGATTATGACATTATTTTGCTCGGGCTGCTCGCTGGAGGTGTGAGACATACCATTAATCTTGTCAGCTTTGGTATAACATTGAGACAGAGACAGGCAAAAGATCAGAAAAACACCCTAGTAATTTTTTCAGACACAGGCTTTGCAATGCTTTAAGATATATATATATATTATATATATTATACATCTCAGTACTAAGGAAATACACTGACACAGTTTGGCACTTGGTCCTCCTCTTTTGCTTGAATCCGGTTTCAAGTATTCCTGCCCCTCAGTGAGTGAATGAAACAGTTTCAATCTGAGACTTAATGACTAGTGACTAGTTGCAGCACGCATTCTCTTCTCACATCATCCACACATCTTTCACTTTATTTCACACAATCCCCTTTGCTGAGCAAGCTTCTGTCTTTATCCCATTTGCATACTCATCATCCTCTTCGCTAGATTTCGGCAAGCTCTTATAATATCTGTACTATCTGCGCCGTGATTTCAGCTGAAGTACGTCATCGTTATGCCGTCACATTTGTCTTTATTTCATCGTTTGTTTATTCTGCTTTGATATGCTGATCCAAATTGTAGTTCAACATCATATTGTTTGATGAGGTACGAGTGGGGCTGAGTAGGGTAGAGATCAAACTTTGATCAAACAACATAGGCAGGTAACCATTCCCATACCATCTAAGAGTCCACTTTCCAGACGAGCGTTCTAAATGTCCCTTTACATTTTTAGTATTGGGCTGGAAATAATGTATAAAAAGATTTAAATGTAAAGTGCGCGTTTTCCTGAGTTGTGTAAGGCTTGCGTAAGGTTGACATAAGTTTTTTTGCAGACATGTTACCGCAAGGGCGTCGTGATACAACATGAATTGCTGGAAGACTATGAAAGTCCAAGCCTATGGGACCAACCAAACACAAAACCAACAATAGTGACCTAACAATCACTTTTTGTATCTTTTTGTCAAGCACTCATAGCAACTGTCATAGTGACCTTAATCATTCACAAACTGCAACGCAATGCAACATAATGCTGACGCCACACACTTCAGTTGAGCACCATTCCGTGTCTGAAGGTTCAATCAGGTTGAACAAGGTTGAACCAGGTGAAACCACGAATGTGGCGTAGACTGCTGCGTTTGAACATGTTTGAACAATTCTGCCAACTTTAAACAATTCATGTTTAAACTTGCTGCCAATTTTTGCCGTAAGCTCAGCGTAAGCGAACCAGAAGCTTGCCACGAGCGAAAAATGCCCGGCTTACCCATGGGCCCACGTAGGCTTAAACAGTTGTTTGGTATCAAGACCGTACAGCAAGATTCCTCAGTTGAAGTGAATTGAATTCCATTGTTTCTTAATCAACATCTAAAAGAGCTCAACAAAATCTTCCAGACTTTCGAATGATCCAAGACGAGATGAAAAGAAGGACAAGAAGGACAAGAAGGACAAGAAGGACAAGAAGGACAACAAGCAGGCAGACAAAAAACGAGCCAACTGGGAACAAGCTATTAAAAGTCGGACGCAACATCGAACATGAAGGTAAGGAACAAGGAAGTCAAGGATGGAAGAAACCAGAAACGGGACTTGAGAAGGCGGACGGAGCCAAGAAGGGAGACACGACACCAGAAGGTTGAACACAGCATAGCAGGGCAGAAGCGGAGATGAGAAAGGAGCCTAACAAGGAGACAGGAAGGAAGGAAGGAAAACAACCGGGGACAAGCCAGGAGAAGGTTGGCTCAGCATCCAACAGCAAGGTAAAGAAGACAGGACACAGGAAGCGTGACAAGAAAACGAAGGGCGACAAGCTGTGAGGTGGACACACAAAGGGCAAGGCAAAAAGGAGACAAGGGCCGAAGCATCAGCGCTGCGCGAGAGCAAGTGACAACAAGGGAGATGTCAAAGATGTCACGTGAAGGAAGACAACCGAAGAGAGGCGATGAGAAAGCAGACACAGCACGGAACGCACGGAACCGCAACGGAGGAAGAAATGGAGACAAGAAATGACAAAAAGAGAGGCACGATGAGCCACGAATGCAGGGAGACAAGATGAGACAAGCTTGCCAGAAGGTGGACACAGCATCCAAACGCGACCCGAAGAAGGGAGACAAGACAGCGGCAGACAGCATTTGACAGAAAGGCGAAAACTCTAGAAAGCAATGAGCACCCCATACACTAAACCTGTTTGCGAGGAAAAAACAGCATTTGCTAGAAGCGTGATGATTGTGAGGACTCCCAGCAAACCTTCCAGAAACGCTCCCCAAAGAAAAGATCAGGTTGAATCAGCCAGTCAGCTATTCGGAGTAGGTGGTACATGATGGGGGTCCAGGACAGCCCTTTGACAAGGACAGGTCATTGAGACCCATCTTTAACCCATCTTTAACCCATCTAGTCAGCTTTTTCCTATTGCGATACTTCAGTATACTGAAGTATACTTCAGTATACTTCAGTATACTTCAGTGCTTTATTGTCATTGTATTTTCTTCGCCTCCAGTCTAGATTCAACTGCATGCGATCTTCAAGTCCGGTCTGGCTTCCGTTCTGTGAGAACTTCTCCTTCACATCCACCTTGTGATAGTTTGGACATGTTTGGACACTGTGATCCAATATGATCCAATTAGTCGTTACCTTAGTAGCTACCACATTGACTATGTTCGCCATGGCGTCCTTTCTTTGCGTCCGGCGTCCAAAGGCGCATTCTGAAACGTATTTGGCAACTTGTGCAATTAATCTTGCAGTGTTGGGCAAGTTAATGTTGCATTTGTCTATAATAATTAAGCAAGTTCATCCGTCAGTGTTGCTATTGAATTCCAAGCTTTCCACTCTCAGGCACTCTCAGGCCTACCAAACCATTCCTAAGACGTGGCACCATTTCTTCATATTTCTTCCATGTTAGATGAGCATTTGTAGACATCCAGCTGCCGACGCGCCGGTGCGAAACCTTACTGTATCAAGTTGCAACTTCATAGTTGCCAAATAGGCTCTTCCGATTTTCCGAAGTTTCGCAATGCAACTGTGAAGTTGGTAAAGTTTCACATAGAGCTGTCCGCTGTCCAGTTTCACAATCACAGCTTCAAACAACAACCGCGAAAGAGGGAAGGCATGGGAAGGCTTTGTCCAGGCAATCAGTGAGCTTCCATGAAGAATCAGCTGTCTTCAGCTGTTTTCGATTTTTTCGGCTGTAGGAGACCAGTTTCCTTTGCTTCGAGTCTGTTCTTGGCACGGGACTTATCCAAACCAGGCAGCAGGATTTTATATGACTTTATGATGCTTTATGCTGGTGGCATTGAGCAAGATTGAAACGTAAATGGACAAAATGGATCAAAATGGACAACACAAAAGTTCTGAAGAGTCACACTTTCAGGCTTTTAGACAAAACACAAGGTCCATTCTGGAGAGTTTGGGTTTCAGATAGCACAAGAAACCAAAAGTCTTCTGCTGGCTCTATTTTTCCCCACCTGTCAGCTCAGCATCAAGAAACCATTTCTCTGGTTCCAAACTAAGCTTCAACGAGGAACTGCCTTGGCAATCCTCAATGCAACCGCCATTGGTCACTTCATCCAGGCGAGGGATGCAGACATGTCTTCGTTTGATGCAGCCAGATGCTTACAATATGGTCTTATCAGATTGTGGGTTCATATATGTAATCAAAAAACATCAAATATGATCACTGGCAGTTCGGATTTGAGAAAACTTTGGAACACTTGGCCAAATTTCAAACGGACAACCGATGATCTGATTATCTCACAGAGTCATAGTCATAGCGCTGCGGCGACCTTGAGCATCGCGTCGTTTCACTTTGCTTCGCTTGGTCGTTTCAGGACTCTGAGACTTGGGTGATCGTTGTGTCTGTTGCTTTCGTGGCCATTGCGTGTTTGCTGCCTTTGTCCGAAACCTCCAAGCAGTCAGGCACCCAGAGACACCCAGAGACACCCAGAGAAACCACGGACAGTGAACAACATCGGATGACGAACTGCATGATGAACCAACTTGCACATACACACACACTGACACATTACACACAGGAATGCAGGGAGATGCATGGGGTATATGCGGCGCGATTCATCCGGTCCAGTTTGAGAATTCTGTGTAGTGCGCCTGTGCACTGTCAAGTCCACATGTTTCGACTGTTGACTCAACATGTTTCGAACGTTTTTTCTGTTTTTTTTCTCATGGTTTCTCGTTTTTTCTCGTTTTTTCTCGATTTTTCTCGTTTTTCTGCGTTGAGGTATACGGTTGGACTCACAGCATATTTCACCATGGACCTCTTGGCTTCCAACAGCGGTGGACAAGGAGAAATACACGTCCTGTTCATGTGCCTGGAATACATGTCCGTGAGTTTGCTGGGGTCTGGATCCCAGTCCCGGGGGGAAAGAGGAAGTAACGAGATGTAACGAGACATAGCGAGACCAAGGTGGATCTGATTTGATTTTTTGCGAAAAAAAATCAATGCAGGCATTTTTTCTAGCATCCACCACCTATAGCATCGCCTTGATCTTGCCAACTTGATCTGTGAAAATCATTCACGAAATATCAGAAATCTATGTCTGAGTATCCCATGAAATCCCAGAATAATCACAAGATCCAAAGATTTCTTGTACTAAATTCATATTAAAGAATTAGAAAGAATTTACAAGTTCTGATTTTTTCGTTTCCAAAGTTTTCGTGAGGTCTCTGTGTGCACTCCTGGTCTATTCTGTGCCACTGCCTGGCCCAGATGCCCAGCATAGTGACAGCAATGTCGAACAAATATGAAGAGGTTGAAAAAGGTTGAAAAAGGTATTTTTTAAAAGATCAAACCCGCTAATTTATGTTACAAGATTGTTAAAACATGTCAAAGGTCTCATGTTGTTGCAAAATGTTGGTGGCGTTTAGTGGCAGGAAGAGCTTGAAGCAAGTCCTTTGCACCTGATAACTCACTGATAACTATATACTTTGAATTGGTTTGAAGTTTGAAGTGTTTGATTCACGCACTCTTCTACAATCTTCAAACAATTCAGGGTCAGATTGTAGACAGTGGCTACAGTCAAACTATGTCAAGTTGCAGCACTTGTGAACTGTTTGGCGAAACATATCATTTTAGGATTGCACAATTTCACCTAGCCTTTGACATGTATTGCTGGTTTATTGCGTGTTATCCAATTGTTTTATTTCAGTTAATGTTTAGAAGTGGTGTGACTTGACACTTAAGTTTGATGTTCTGTACATGCACACATACAAATACATATTTAAGTATGCTGACTATTGCTGACTCATTTGTTCTTGAGATTTCCTGTGATTTTCGTTCCTAGGCCTGCCAGACACCCGTGCTTTAAAGAGTGGTGCCGTGGCGTTCAAAGAGATCGTTGAAGGCTGTGCCGAGGCCGAGATTGTACAAGAGAAAAGAAAATACAGATATATACAGATATTACGTAAGAATGATATGCTATATACAGCCATATATAGATATTATCCAGGGGTTTGGATTCAAGACTTTTTTTTCAGTCGTAAACCTTGAATCCTAATCCAGGCGTGGCATACACAAGATTGCAGTTGATTGCAAGCGATTGCAATCCATTCGGGGCTGTGAACGTGCGAAGATTCCGTTCTTTTTTAAACAAGGGTGTGCGAAGGTTGCGAAACCGCCGTTTGCCAACATATTTCATTCAGTTTTTCAGTCTTTTATTTGCGGCCAGCAGCCGAGGACATTTTAGATTTTCAGTTTCATGGAATTTTGTCAGAGAGTCCTTTCAAATGTGCAGTATCTCTTTGCAAAAAGGTTCCCGAGCATAATACTACTGCAAAATGTTTTCCTTCAATGTATACAGTGCTCTTTCTGAAGGATTGTAGAGCGTTTGTATAAAAGCGCATGGTACTACTTTAATATCATATCCTTCAATGTGTGCACTGCTCTCTTTGAAAGAATTTGGTTGCCCTCTACGGAAAACTAAGTATATATCATGCAAAGATAGGGGCAAATGAATGTATAAGACTGCAAGCTTATCATTCTCTTAAAGCAGTGTTGGGCATTTTTACAAGACAGACTGCACTCACTTGAAAGACTTTGCATTTTCTAAAAATATTGCCTGCATGTCTAAAAGAAGTAAATACAATCGGGCATTTCGAAACACAGTGCATTCATTGGAAAGACCGTACATCTTCTGAAATATTGCCCGTCTAGAAGAAACATGAAGAAACATTGTTCAAAGAAAGACCGCACTGGATTCAAATTGTTTCAATTTTGAATGTCCTATTATAGTTAGTCGTTTTAATTTTGAAAGGAAGCGCTCCACGATTTGGATGGAAGACTGCAGAACGTTGCATATTGTTCAACAGTAGTGCCTTTTTGAAAGCGGGGGCTTGACATTTTGAATGGAAGACTGCACTCATGCAGAAAGGCTTTATTTATTCCAAACGAAAAAACTGTATAATCTGTATATTCCGCATGAATATTTCTGCAAAGAAATCCTGAACATTTTGAAAGGTAGGCTGTTCTGGTTTAAAGGGCTGCACATCGTACCAAAGATTGGTGTGTCAAAAGCAGCAGTGCACATTTTGAAGGGATTGCATTGATTTAAAAAACTGCACTTATTCATAAATGCATGTTGCTTTTTGTGCATGTATATTGACGTTTCGAAAGATTTACTGGACATTTGAAAAGAAGACTGCACTGGCTTGAAAGACTGCGCTTCTTATTAAGACATGTTTTACAAGGATTATTTGAATGGATTGCACTCATTAAACACTGCGCTCTTTGTCAGAGCGTCCTTCATATTACAATGTGTTTGTCTTATCAAAGAAGTACTCTTTTGGAAAAAATACTACATTCAATTAAAAGTCTGTAATGAAGAATTATCTTGTAGCAAAAGTGCTGAATACTTTGGAAGCAATGCGGCACTGGCCTAAATATTGCACTTATTATAGATGACAGCGCTTTGAAGAAAACACTGGATATGTTGAAAGCAAGACTGCACTCATTTGAAAGACTGAACATGTTGCCTTAAGGAAGCAATAGTTTGGAATCATTATTCTTGCAAAATACAAAAACATGGACGGTACTTGCTCTGAAAGTGAAGGGTTTCCAATCAAAAAGGTGCATTAGTCCTTTTAAAGAGATGTTAACTGATGCCAATCTTGGAGCCGGGGTAGCTAATATGCATGTAATGAAAAGGAAAATAAAATAAAGTAAAGTAATGTAATGTAATGCAGCGTATGTATTTTTTTATTATACACTGTACATATGCAGTGTATACAATCGATACGAAAGAAAAGATATTGTGTTTTATGTGTTTTATGTACCTGTTCAGATTTATAGATCCATATCGATTCCAACCTATCACAGTCAATAGGTTTCTTGGAGATGTCATGATTTTAATGTCACCATTGCCTCTCCGTCATGTCGTAGCGTCGCAGGTGGTGAAGGAAGCCACGGAAGCGTTTCTGTTCATCGGTGCAGGGGACGCGTGGCGTGCTTTGGGCCAACAGAGATTGAGCGATCTCTCGGAAACGTCAGGGACCCCAGGACCCCAGAACGACCTGACTTGGACAGAGAGAGACTTCCTGACGGAACAAAACCACCCCGACACCGCGAAATGCATTTGACTTTTCAGTCGTTTTGGGGTCCCGAGAAGTCCCGAGAAGGGGCCTTTCTTGGAGCATGGGAATGCTGGGATGCGATATGCTGATGCCGAGATGCCCAGGCTGGCAGGAGCCAAGTGTACTGCAGAGTATGAGAACTTGTCACCTTTGGCTGTTTGGCGAAATCTTCGGCACGATGGGCGTCTGCAGTCTGAGAGGTGGGGTATCACTTATCACGTCCACATCTCTCCATAAAATGTATTCAACAGCATTTTAAAATGGAAAGAAGAGCAGTAGCTAAGTGAACCTAATTTTTGTTTATTTGTTTATTTGGCGGTGAATCGGAAGAATTGGTTCAGGCTTGAACATTGCCATATGGTCCCTACATGTCCCTAATTACATGGTACCAAGTCAGCCATTTTGTAGGATGGCCCCACTTTTGGGGCCAAGATGGCGCATTATGACATCTTGGGCAAAACAATCACATGTTTTTTTCATAGGAATAATTGAACCAAAGGTATCAAAGATATCCCCATGATACACCCACACATTACAGGCTGTCTATCCGCAGCTCGCATGCTGACACTGACAAACTCTAGAAGTCTAAAAGGCAAGTGACAGGGACTCTGCTAATCTCTGCTAATCTCTGCTACCTAACATTGGCCAATCACAATCACATGTTAAGTCATGTTCATATCATGTTCATATCATGTTAAGAAGTTATCATGTCTTTGTTGGGAAGTTTTGATGTCCAAAGGCCGAGTCGGGCCGAGTCTTGTTGCTTTCCCGGAGGCAGCATCTTCAGCAGGAGGCCCTTTGCCGCGTTCGGAGTTGATCCGAATGACATGATTTGAATTGACAAATTGACGGCATATATTTCATGCAAACTACCGGCAAAACGCTGCATTGAAGCGAAGACTTTTTTGGTCGTAGCTTCGGTTGATGGGCTCTCTCATGTCGACATATGTCATAATATGTTACAATATGCTATAAATGTTGTAATATGTTGTAATATATGTTGTCTCCCTCCGATCCTACAGCTTTCTGCAGACCGCTTTCTCTGCAGCAGCGGCTTGCCTAGAGACTCATATTGCGCAGAGAAGGAAACCTGAGGATTTAGACATTTAATAGGTAAAGAATGACAAGATCTTGCCGATTTTACCGTGTCTTTATGAAGTCTTTGAATGATGTCTGGCAAAACTGGCGAAAATATTTGAAAATCATGGCAGTGCACAATTTCAAAATGATTTTGGAATTTTGGAATTTGTGTTTCAATGAATTTCAACGTCACATGATGCGTCAAGTGCCGGATCACGGGGCCAAGATCCAAGCAGATCCAAGCAGATCCAAGCGTTGCAGGCCTGTGCCCAGCTCTGCCAAGGCCGAAACAATCGATGTATGTTGTCTCCTGTGTGAGCTGGCGGCAAAGTTGGGATCCCTGGGAACTGAATCAGTTGAATCAGTTGAATCGGTTGTGAGAACATCTTGAGAAACGCAATGAAAAATAATGAAAACACCAGGAAGCGAGTCAACACACGATGCAACATGACGAGTCCATGGAGAGTGGAGAGGAATTGGGGCGAGCACTACCGCTGAGTCTTGCATTGAATTTCTCTGTATGAATGTAATTACAAGATAATTACTGTGAATATTGGTGAATCTTGTACCGGTGAGTTTGGTTTTGTGCTTTACATTGTGAAATCACAGTACGGGGTGATTTGTTAAAGAATTCCAATGTGTATTCATATATGTCTTGATTCAATAGTGATTCAATATGATATTGTGTATTTTCATGTATTTTCCTATAATGTTCCTGTAATTTTCGTATAATTTTCGTATTTTTTCTGCATTTGTTTCGTATATGTTGCGACTCTATTTGTTCGCGAAGTCAAGGCCGCACGGCACAGATCTGGGAGCCGAAGCTGCTTTGGCATGGAGCCCTGACGCTTTTGTGTTGTGAATAATCGAAGTGATCCAACCAGAAAACATATGGATAACATTGGATAACTAATGGATATCTATAACTACTGGATAACTAATGATAACAAACTATGGATAACTTTCCAGTAATTAGTAATGGAAACTAACGACAATTACTAATGGCTACACAAAAAAGTGAGGCATGAGTCATACATGAACAAAAACATAAGGACACAATAGTGTTGAATGAGAAGATCATGCAAACCCAACGCACTTTTTAAGAGGGCGAAATCAGGAAATGAAGAGAAATTGAGGAGACTCAGGAGACCACGAATAAAAAAGGTATAAGGAGAACTCGCACACACTCGCACTATATCCAAAATGGAGCAAGGGGCGGCATTCGAGTCACAACGAGAACGCAAACAAAAAGGAACAAATAGGAGGGACAAGACAAAAAGGATTAAGGAACAACGAGCAAAAGGAGAATTAAAGAAAACACATTTTTTTTGCTTGTCTCTTCGTCACTATTTTACATCAGCTCCTGTGTTTGGAATGTTGGAACCCTTCACCTCGTCCTCGGCTCTTTCCTACAGTTACCCGTACAATCTTTTGTCTTGAAGTTCTTTCTGGGTCGTTGATCGTCTCCCTTGCCTTCTTGAGTCATTTTTTTTTGCAAGTCTAGTTTTGTATTTCTGAACACATTGTTCCTATAAACTTTTGCAATCGATTATGGGGCTCTGGACCTGGATTATGGGTCTTCCACATGTGGTTTCATGGACCTTTTTCTTTACATAAATCAACCTAAATCAACCCTTCCTTTGAAAGGTTTTGATGTTAATGCAGGTAGCCTGCTAAGATTGCTAAGATATGACCATGCCGACAACTAAGATTCCTTCGACCAATGAGATCATTGGCCCGCAATTCTATGCAATTCTTATTTAACCAATTGGGACCCTTTAGCCCTTTAGCCGCTAATTGGGAACCATGTTCTTTCAAACCCTTTTCCAATTCTATTGACGCAAAAGGATGTCCAGTCCAAATTTCGAAATAACATCATTCCTAAATCGAAATTCTGTTCAATGGGATCCCAGATCAAACAACTTTAAAGTGATTGCATTTTACATATTCAGGATCTAATTGGGATTAACTGGGTATATGGAGGCAGCAGCGACCGAAAATGGTACCAGACACATGCCTTTTGAACTATAGTAAAGGTGCATAGAGCCAACAAATCAAGATAGTAACAATCTCCAAAAAACTCAAATCTGTCAAAGGTTCAATTTTGTTAGGATCTAAACCTTAAATTTTTCAGCAACTTATTTTGCAGACTTTGTGGACCTTTTTTCCGTTGCGGACGATTATGGGGCATGAGACATCCTGAGATCTGCTGAAAAAAAATCGGCGGAACTTTTGGGGGCCTGTGCCCCTTGATCGGTTGCATTTGTTTTTTTACGGACTTTGTCCGTCGGCGGAACTCCACTACACAAATTGTGTACCTGACTTCTGCTGAAAAAAAAAATCGGCGGAACTTTTTGGGGGCCTGTGCCCCTTGATCGCTTGCATTTTTTTTTACGGACTATGGTTTTTTTGTTTTTCGGCGGAACTCCACTACACAAATTATGTACCTGACATCTGCTGAACATTTTTTTTTCAGCGGAACTTAGTATTCAGACCTATGGTTCGGCGGAACTCAACATCACAAAATGTATAGTGGACTTCTGCTGATTCAATGGTTTTCCCTAGGATTTCTGCTGTTTTTTTTTCGGCGGAACTCAACATCACAAAATGTGCGCCTGAGTTCTGCTGATTTGTATGGAATTTCGGCGGAAGTTCATAAGTTTAGTAACAGAGCGTCCCTGCAGCATTTTCTCTCACTGGCTTGTTACTGACCCAGCTGCAATGGATGCAATGGAAGAGGATTGGAGTGAGCCTGAATTTCAGGACACTGAATTCAAAGTATGCCCCGTTTAATTGATGGACTCCAGGTCCTCTAACATATATTCTCAAGTTTTTTGGGAATTAAATCTTGTATGGGAAATATCACCCTGCCACATATATTTATATATAATATAAATATCATACATATATACATATATGTGTTTCTATCCAGGTATGTACACACCGACACATAAAAAACATATGTGTATATGTATATATATATATATATGTTTGTAGGTCTGACCTACGTACATATATATATATATATGTGTGTATGTGAATATATACCTATGAGTATACATATTTCATCGGATTCAATATTAATTCGACACACACATATATATTTATATATATATATACAACTGTCTATATCTATCTATCACCCTGAACCACCTCTTGGTGTGTGTGTGTGTCTGCGGAGATGGGAATGCTGTGTTATTCTCTATTATCTTAAATATATTTTAATCAGTTATATTTAGTATGAAGGAAGTATATGTTGGTATAATAATTACATGACACACACACACACACTGCCGCCCCTGCCGCCGACCCCGGAAAAAAAAAGAGGTTCGCAGTGCAATCCACAATCTTCGCAGGTCAGATGGATGGATGTTTGTCCTAGACTCTTAGACCTGTGCTTTTGTTGTCCTCCTAGCCTCCTTTCCGTTAGGATTGAGACATTGCATTTGCGGCCAGTAAGATGTTCATTCATTTCAAGCACCAATCGAGCACGCGTTCATCCAGTGTGGTTTCCAAGATATAAGAATATAGCTGTGCTGAGGTGCTGATATTATCTGTAAGGTATTGGTCATTTTGTTTTGAAGAAGCGTTCTATCATGTTGCGCATTTCGGAATCGATCTATGTATCTTTCCAGCCCATCAAAAACAGCACGGCTTAAACCAGGCCTGACTGTGAAAGATCGCCAGCACTGATTGTTGAAGTTGAAAGGTGACCACGGACAATTACACTGCACTCAGACTTACCAGGCGATTTTTGTGTCAAACTGTGATGCGCATAGAGGTCACCACATATGTCCTGTTTGCGCTCAACCTGTTTCCAGCCCCGTGCGCACTGGGCGAGTTGATCATCGCCATACTTGCGGCTATCAATTTCGCGTTGTGAACAGGTCTGTTGTAGGCAAGAAGCACAAACATACATGTCCGACCTGTGGAACAACGGTCCTCTCCACCAAGGCGGCAGGACGAATTCAAGTCCAACATAAACATCCCAGCGGACGCATGTGTCGGTGTACCCGATGGCAAGCCAAGCCTGCGCCACACTGAAACACCATGGCACTGAAGAACTCTCTAACGCGCTCCAAACCACCAGAACCCTATTAAAAATAGCCTTTTGCCAATTTTGCCAACCTTTTCCCGTTGCCTTTTGCCAATTTTGCAACTTTTGACTTTTGCCAACCTTTTCCCGTTGTACTGCCTCCGGAGCTGAAAACAGCCCTCCACCACACCAAAACACCATGGCAGTGAAGGACAGACACGCCACGAAATCGCACCAAAAAAGTCTCTAACGTTCCTTCTGAAACCCGATTAAAAATAGTCTTTTGCCAATTTTGCCAACCTTTTCCCGTTGTACTGCTTCCGGTGCTGAAAACATCCCTCCGCCACACCAAAACACCATGGCAGTGAAGGACGGACACGCCACGAAATCGCAGCAAAAAACTGTCTAACGTCCCTTCTGAAACCCTATTAAAAATAGTCTTTTGCCAATATTAAAAATAGTCTTTTGCCAATTTTGCCAACCTTTTCCCGTTGTATTGCCTCCGGTGCTGAAAACAGCCCTCCGCCACACCAAAACACCATGGCAGTGAACGACGGACACGCCAGGAAATCGCACCAAAAAAGTCTCTAACGTCCCTTCTGAAACCCTAAAAATAGCCTTTTGCCAATTTTGCCAACCTTTTCCCGTTGTGCTCAATCCGCTGCTGAAAACAGCCCTTCGCCACACCAAAACACCATGGCAGTGAAGGACGGACACGCCACGAAATCGCACCAAAAAAATGCTTAACGTCCCTTCTGAAACCCTTTTAAAAATAGCCTTTTGCCAATTTTGCCAACCTTTTCCCGTTGTACTGCCTCCGGTGCTGATAACAGCCCTCCGCCACACCAAAACACCATGGCAGTGAAGGACGGACACGCCACGAAATCGCAGCAAAAAACTGTCTAACGTCCCTTCTGAAACCCTATTAAAAATAGTCTTTTGCCAATAAAATAAAAAATGGTCTTTTAGTCTTTTGCCAATATTAAAAATAGTCTTTTGCCAATTTTGCCAACCTTTTCCGGTTGTATTGCCTCCGGTGCTGAAAACAGCCCTCCGCCACACCAAAACACCATGGCAGTGAAGGACGGACACGCCACGAAATCGCACCAAAAAACTGTCTAACGTCCCTTCTGAAACCCTATTAAAAATATAGTCTTTTGCCAATACTCCGCCACACCAAAACACCATGGCAGTGAAGGACGGACACGCCACGAAATCGCACCAAAAAAGTGTCTAACGTCCCTTCTGAAATCCTATTAAAAATAGCCTTTTGCCAATTTTGCGAACCTTTTCCGGTCTGGTAAATGCCCATCCGGTGCTGAAAAGCCCTCCGCCACACCAAAACACCATGGCAGTGAAGACGGACACGCACGAAATCGCACCAAAAAACTGTCTAACGTCCCTTCTGAAACCCTATTAAAAATAGATAGTCTTTTGCCAATACTCCGCCACACCAAAACACCATGGCAGTGAAGGACGGACACGCCACGAAATCGCACCAAAAAAGTGTCTAACGTCCCTTCTGAAATCCTATTAAAAATAGCCTTTTGCCAATTTTGCGAACCTTTTCCCGGTGCTGAAAACAGCCCTCCGCCACACCCAAAACACCATGGCAGTGAAGGACGGACACGCCACGAAATCGCACCAAAAAACTGTCTAACGTCCCTTCTGAAACCCTATTAAAAATAGTCTTTTTCCAATCCTCCGCCACACCAAAACACCATGGCAGTGAACGGCGGACACGCCACGAAATCGCACCAAAAAAGTGTCTAACGTCCCTTCTGAAATCCTATTAAAAATAGCCTTTTGCCAATTTTGCGAACCTTTTCCCGTTGTACTGCCTCCGGTGCCAATATTAAAAATCGTCTTTTGCCAATTTTGCCAACCTTTTCCCGTTGTACTGCCTCCGGTGCTGAAAACAGCCCTCCGCCACACCAAAACACCATGGCAGTGAAGGACGGACACGCCACGAAATCGCACCAAAAAACTGTCTAACGTCCCTTCTGAAACCCTATTAAAAAAATAGTCTTTTGCCAATACTCCGCCACACCAAAACACCATGGCAGTGAAGGACGGACACGACACGAAATCGCACCAAAAAAGTGTCTAACGTCCCTTCTGAAATCCTATTAAAAATAGCCTTTTGCCAATTTTGCGAACCTTTTCCCGTTGTACTGCCTCCGGTGCCAATATTAAAAATAGTCTTTTGCCAATTTTGCCAACCTTTTCCCGTTGTACTGCCTCCGGTGCTGAAAACAGCTCTCCGCCACACCAAAACACCATGGCAGTGAAGGACGGACACGCCACGAAATCGCACCAAAAAAGTGTCTAATGTCCCTTCTGAAACCTTATTAAAAATAGATAACAATAGTCTTTTGCCAATACTCCGCCACACCAAAGCACCATGGCAGTGAAGGACGGACACGCCACGAAATCGCACCAAAAAAGTGTCTAACGTCCCTTCTGAAATCCTATTAAAAATTATCTTTTGCCAATTTTGCTAACCTTTTCCCGGTGCTGAAAACAGCCCTCCGCCACACCGAAACACCATGGCAGTGAAGGACGGACACGCCACGAAATCGCACCAAAAAACTGTCTAACGTCCCTTCTGAAACCCTATTAAAAATAGTCTTTTGCCAATACTCCGCCACACCAAAACACCATGGCAGTGAAGGACGGACACGCCATGAAATCGCATCAAAAAAGTGTCTAACGTCCCTTCTGAAATCCTATTAAAAATAGCCTTTTGGCCTGCTGGGCCTGCTGGGCCTGCTGGGCCTGCTGGGCCTGCTGGGCCTGCTGCTGCTGCTGCTGCTGGTGCTGCAGGCCTCCCGGATGGGAAAACACGGCTGAAACCCATAGAAAAAGATGAGTTTAGCTACTTTTTCCTCCTGCTGCTGCTGCTGCTCCTGCTACCCCTTCTGTTCAAAAGGCAATTCCAGAAGAAGAAGAAGTAGTAGTAGTAGTCGTAGTAGTCGTAGTAGTCGTAGTAGTAGTAGTAGTAGTTGTAGTTGTAGTTGTAGTTGTTGTAGTAGTAGTAGTAGCTGGAGCTGGTGCTGCAGGCCTCCCGGATGGGAAAACACGGCTGAAACCCATAGAAAAAGATGAGTTTAGCTACTTTTTCCTCCTGCTGCTGCTGCTCCTGCTCCTGCTACCCCTTCTGTTCAAAAGGCAATTCCAGAAGAAGAAGAAGAAGTAGTAGTAGTAGTCGTAGTAGTCGTAGTAGTAGTAGTAGTAGTTGTAGTTGTAGTTGTTGTTGTAGTAGTAGTAGCTGGAGCTGGTGCTGCAGGCCTCCCGGATGGGAAAACACGGCTGAAACCCATAGAAAAAGATGAGTTTAGCTACTTTTTCCTCCTGCTGCTGCTGCTGCTCCTGCTACCCCTTCTGTTCAAAAGGCAATTCCAGAAGAAGAAGAAGTAGTAGTAGTAGTAGTAGTAGCCGTAGTAGTCGTAGTAGTAGTAGTAGTTGTTGTTGTTGTTGTTGTTGTAGTTTTAGTAGTTGTAGTAGTTGTAGTAGTTGTAGTAGTAGTAGTAGTAGCTGGCGAAGTGGTAGTAGTCCGAAACAAGGGTCAAAAGTATTATTCCCTGGCGCGCTCCCCCTTGCGTCTGCCGGGGTCGGCGGATATTATAGTTATATAATCATATACGTGTACCTATATACATATATATATATATAAATATTTATACATAGCTATAATTTCGTATGGGTATAATATGGGGTTCAAAGGATCCAAATTGATGTCCCCAAATCAAAATCCCAAGCCCCATAATTGACTGCAAAAATTTCTATATATAATCTATATACGTATATTATTATATATTATATGATACACATGTATATATACTATATCTACCTGGTAAACCCAAACCCTAACTTTTCTTCGGGTATAAATAAAACAATACCTCGGGTATTCCATGAATTTGAAAAATACCTCGGGTATGGCCGGAAAACCTCGGGTTTATCCAGTGTTTCTTCCTCAATTTTGCTAAGGCCGTCCTTTGTTCCGCAGGTTGTAGTTCACTATAGAACAGAACCATTCTGTATCTCTTTGCCACCTTTGTTCGAGATTTACTTGTGCCCAAATCCTTTGCACAGTCTTGTAACACATTTTTTTTGATTTTTGTCTGGAAAAGTTCGGGTTTCTCGAAAACCCATACCAAACCCGTACTAATTAACCCATAGTATTTCTGCAAATACATTGGTTTTGCGAGCAAGCATTGGTTATTCATGGTTTTTCCAAACCCGTACTAAACACGTACCACTTGATGGGTTTGTATGAGCCGGATTGTAAGCTGCTTGGTTCATTTTGTTTGGTGATTTTTCAGGTTTTCGTAATTAAGAACAAGAGAAAGCACAGCACTTTGTGCAAATACACGGGGAAAACAGTGTTCCACGGCAGTCTTTAAAGGTTTCAGTTTTGGGAAAGTCTCACATTTTTGGAAACCTCGGGTTTGTTTTTCAAACCTCGGTTATTTTTCTATACCCCAAGATTTTCTCGAGTTTGTGTGCATATATTTACTTACATATATACCTGGAGAACCAAAACCCTAAGAATTCTTCGGGTCAACGCCAGAACCTGAGGTATTTCGGAAAAAATAAGAAAACCTCGGTTTTCGATTGAAGACCTCGAGTATTGATTTTGAACCCGTACCTAACCCGTACCTAACCCGTATTTAACCCGTACTAACCCGTACCTAACCCGTACCTAACCCGTACTTTCAGAATGGGTCAAAATACCCCGGGTTTTGTCAGAAAAGCTCAGGTATTTTTCAAACCCTAAGATTTCTGCGGGTTTTGGTTCTCAAGGTATATATATATATATAATTATATTATATTATGTCTTAAATTATGAATGTATACTATACTGCATACATGATTGTTCATTTTCTGCCGCGCACAGTCTCCGTCTCTGTTGCGTCTGCTGATATTGAGGTGCGTGGAGCTGCAGAGGAATCAATTCGGGGTGTGGCGCTGGATGCTGCTGCGTTGCTCAGGGACTTTGGACGTGCAGATTTTGGTGCTGCAGCCGGGCAACTCAGACCCTGAAAAAGAATTCGTAGCACGGGCTCCTGATCTTGCTTGCGCCTGCATTGCCTGCATGCTTGTTCTTGAGACATTTGGAAATGCAAATTGTAAAGAATTCTATCGCGCACGGGCTCTCGGTTTGAGGGGTGGCTATGCGCAGCCTCTAGTCCAAACGGGAAATCTCTGCTTGTCCAGAGCTCCACAATAGGATGCAATAGCTGGTGGTAAGCACATCAAATCAAACATTGCAACCAATGGGTAATGTTTGCTGGCTTCCATGCAAGGCACAGCAATTAGCTACCAGCTCGGCTCCTTTTCAGCCTGATCAACAGAAAAAAATACGTGTCTTGGGCACTTGTGCCCAAAGACAGCCAAAGACCCCAAACATGAAAAATCATGAAACCAAACAAAACAAAAAAAAGGAAAACAGCAGCCGGGACCACCTCCGCGCTCAAGTGGTCGATGCCTCGACGGTGTCCACGTAGCATGCAAGCTGTGTGTAGTGAGCCAAACAGACGTTGGCTTGCTCGAAACATTCCGCCACTCTCACCTCCAAAGATTCTGCATCATCTTGAAGCTGAAAGCAAAGCCGTCTTAAAACCTGACATGCTGTAGACAGCTTGGCAAGGCTGTAGACCACTGCGATATGGCAAGCCAAGCAGCTTTGCCAAGTATGGACAGTATGGACACTTGATTGCGCGCCTGAGTTTGCATGCTTGGCAGGATGACTGCCGCTTCCTCAAACTGTTGTCCCGAGAAGGGTTACGGTTACTTGTGCCGGCGCTTGAGCAATCTCTTCGGCGTCTTGAATCTCCAACAAGGCCTTAAGGCAAAGTCGTGCAAAGGTCTTGCCCGAGCGTCTGGCTTGAGAACTGTACCAACGACAGAGATCTTGCGCAAAGTGTCCCCACAGGCACTTGGTAAAGCAGAACAAAGTCGATTGCATCCAACTCATGTGCGAACGTCATGTCTGAGCACGACATCTTCAGACGACGTGTTCGAGCTATGGAAAGCGTAGGAAAACATGATTCGAAAGGGAAGATATTGGGATATTAGGAGCGTCCCGCGATCGATGTAGCCCACCGCCCAAGATCAACATGGCATACCAACTTCGCACACATTTGCTGACACGACACACCACTGATAGGATTCGGGCTGACACTTTGTAAAGAACCGTAAAATCAAAACGTGTACTGTAATTATTATTGTAGTTGCGCACACTCAAAAGGTGTAGGTTTGTGGCTCGCAGTGTTTGTTTCAGACCGCAAAGTGTTCGCAACATTTGCGGGGCAAGGCTCTGGGCGAGAGCAATGCCACTGCCACCAGGCGCAAAATCCTTCTAGAGGCAGGAAGAATTCGGACAACATGTCATCACAACATGTCGTGACAACATGTGACCACCACTTTAGGCAACGCAGAACAACATCCTAATCTAAAGAATGGAGCAGGGTCTCGGTGGACAGAGATAGACAGAGGAACCTGGAATAATTATCCTTCATTGTTGTTTTTTCCCCAAACAGTGTGTCCACATGTGTCCACACTGAGGGGTTCTTACGGTAAGAGTAAAGGCTGGTGCTTGATCAGGGTGCTCCATCTGGGCCCCGGCATTTTTCCTGCACATTTTCGCACAAAGTGGCTCTTGTGAAATGTCCAAGTGCATTTCGATTGCGCAGGCTCGCGCAAAGTGTGGTCCCCGGTCTTGGGCCCCGGCATTTCACGGTAAATCCTCGCTTAAATTGTTCCCTTGTGAAATGTCCAAGTGCATGTCGATTGCGCAGGCTTGCGCAAAGTGTGGGTCCCGGTTTTGGGATTGGTCCCCCTCCTCAACATCATCATCTTCCTCCTCCTCAACATCGTCATTCTCAACATCATCATCTTCCCCCCTTGTCAGCCTCAACATCATCAACCTCCACGTCATCTTCCGCAACATCAACATTATCATCCTTTTCATCACTCTCCTCAAGATTGCCACTTTCAACATCATCATCATCATCATCACCACCATCATCATCATCATCATCCATCTCAACATCATCATCCTCCCACTCTCCCACGCTGTTTGGGGTCTGTTGCTGGAATTTTTGAACACTTCACTAGACGTAAGGGTAAGGGATTGGGCAAAACAAAGTGAGAAGGAAACGTTGGGACACGAAGTACGCCAACTAATCAATGAAGGATAATGGAAATACATGGACTCATGCACAAACACCTCACAATACGTGTTTTCCTGGAGTGGCTGATCATGACGTACTGTTTGTACAGATCTGCACTGTTTGTTCATGATTTTTGCAATTTCTGTGCGTACTGGAAACTTGCAACTCAAACTCTTGCATGTTTGCATGTCTCCCTGAAGCATTCTGGATTCAAAACCATCTCTGCAAAATGCAAAAAATCAAGATCATTAAAGAAATCATTGAACTTAGCTGAACTTGGCTGAACTAAACTGATTTTTTTGAATCTTTCTAAATCTCTGTCAGAATGTTGTCGGAATCTTCCTGTCCGCCTTGGCCTTGAAGGCTGCTAGAAGCGCCTTGCAGAAAAGTTCCTCGGTCAAAGAGAGGACGAGAAAAGCGGTTGGAGGGACAGTCGTTGGACTGCCCGAAATAGAAACGAAAGAGATGCGTCTAAGAGTCTAGCCCCCTTTTTCTTGGCGTTTTGTTATTTTCTAAATCAATGTTTTTGCCGACAGGGATGGAAAGGGACCAAATCAGATCTTAGCTTAACATGGTTTAAAAATCATAGCCAAATTTGGCATTTTTTCTGGCACATTTGCTGTCGGCTGGGCGTGGCCAATGCGCTGAGGCAGAAATGCGGCGCAGGACCCGACAAAATTGGACTTACGGATTTTGCGGCATTTTTTTTGAAACACAGACCAGCTATATTTACAAGGCATTGCAGCATCCAGGAAGATGACAAGGGGAGGCGCATGTTTGCCGTTTTGTTTTGTTTGTTTTGTTCGTTTAAAGTTTAAAGTATTTCCGAACTTCCAGATTTGTTTCGTGTGAAAACGTGCACAAGATGCACAAGATGCTGAAGTTCTTTGGAACAAAAACCATGTGCATGTCGCAAACGATCGCAAAGCAGCACCAATCAAAAACAGCAAATCACATATTCGAGCAAAGGTTTTCCCTGGGTGAAGAACATGCACAAATCTGTAGCTAAAAAGGATGTTGGCAGAATGTTCATTGTAATCTCTGAATGTTTTACCGATTCTTCGTGGACCTGCACTCTGGCTTACGGTGCTAATGATCTCACAGGCAAAAAATGGAAATTACTTTACTTCGTGTGATCCCCACCATGACATTTATACATTTTGTTACTGGCAAATCTTCTGGCATTCTATCTGGCATATCTTCTGGCATTCTATCTGGCATATCTTCTGGCACTCTAACTGGCATATGTTCTGGCATATCTTCTGGCATTCTATCTGGCATATCTTCTGATATTTTACCTGGCATATCTTCTGGCATTCTATCTGGCAAGCATTCTGGCACTTCATCTGGCATATCTTCTGGCATTCTATCTGACATGCTATCTGGCGTTCTATCTGGCAAATCTTCTGGCATTCTATCTGGCATATCTTCTGGCATTCTATCTGGCATATCTTCTGGCACTCTAACTGGCATATCTTCTGGCATATGTTCTGGCATATCTTCTGGCATTCTATCTGGCATATCTTCTGATATTTTACCTGGCATATCTTCTGGCATTCTATCTGGCAAGCATTCTGGCACTTCATCTGGCATATCTTCTGGCATTCTATCTGACATGCTATCTGGCGTTCTATCTGGCATATCTTCTGGCATTCTATCTGGCATATCTGGCATCTTCTGGCATTCTAACTGGCATATCTTCTGGCATATGTTCTGGCATATCTTCTGGCATTCTATCTGGCATATCTTCTGATATTTTACCTGGCATATCTTCTGGCATTCTATCTGGCAAGCATTCTGGCACTTCATCTGGCATATCTTCTGGCATTCTATCTGACATGCTATCTGGCGTTCTATCTGGCATATCTTCTGGCATTCTATCTGGGATACCTTCTGGCATTCTATCTGGCATATCTTCTGGCACTCTAACTGGCATATCTTCTGGCATATGTTCTGGCATATCTTCTGGCATTCTATCTGGCATATCTTCTGATATTTTACCTGGCATATCTTCTGGCATTCTATCTGGCAAGCATTCTGGCACTTCATCTGGCATATCTTCTGGCATTCTATCTGACATGCTATCTGGCGTTCTATCTGGCATATCTTCTGGCATTCTATCTGGCATACCTTCTGGCATTCTATCTGGCATATCTTCTGGCACTCTAACTGGCATATCTTCTGGCATATGTTCTGGCATATCTTCTGGCATTCTATCTGGCATATCTTCTGATATTTTACCTGGCATATCTTCTGGCATTCTATCTGGCAAGCATTCTGGCACTTCATCTGGCATATCTTCTGGCATTCTATCTGACATGCTATCTGGCGTTCTATCTGGCATATCTTCTGGCATTCTATCTGGCATACCTTCTGGCATCCTATCTGGCATTCTATCTGGCATATCTTCTGGCATTCTACCTGGCATATCTTCTGGCATATGTTCTGGCATTCTACCTGGCATATCTTCTGGCATATATTCTGGCATATGTTCTGGCATATGTTCTGGCAAATCTTCTGGCATATGTTCTGGCCTGGCATATCTTCTGGCATTCTATCTGGCATATCTTCTGGCATTCTATCTGGCATTCTATCTGGCATATCTTTTGGCATATTATCTGGCAAATCTTCTGGCATTCTATCTGGCATATCTTGTGGCATTCTATCTGGCATCCTATCTGGCATTCTATCTGGCATATCTTCTGGAATTCTATCTGGCATATCTTCTGGCATTCTACCTGGCATATGTTCTGGCCTGTCATATCTTCTGGAATTCTATCTGGCATATCTTCTGGCATTCTACCTGGCATATCTTCTGGCATATGTTCTGGCATTCTATCTGGCATATCTTCTGGCATTCTATCTGGCATATCTTCTGGCATTCTATCTGGCATATCTTCTGGCATTCTATCTGACATTCTATCTGGCATCTCTTCTGGCATATGTTCTGGCATATCTTCTGGCATTCTATCTGACATTCTATCTGGCATCTCTTCTGGCAATTTATCTGGCCGTTGAGGTCCAGCGGTGCACACTGAGGTGGGTAGGTCCCAGGTTGAGGTCCAGCGGTGCACACTGAGCTGGGCAGGTCCCCGGTTGAGGTCCAGCAGTGCACACTGAGCTGGGAAGGTCCCAGGTTGAGGTCCAGCGGTGCAGACTGAGCTGGGCAGGTCCCAGGTTGAGGTCCAGCGGTGCCCACTGAGCTGGGAAGGTCCCAGGTTTAGGTCCAGCGGCGCACACTGAGCTCGGACGTTGGCGAAGAGCTTGGCGAAGAGTTGGCAAGGCAACAGTGGACGTGGAAGTGGAGGCAGAGGTGGTGGAGGAGATGCTGGCGGAGGAGAAGCAGGAGAAGCAGGGGAAGCAGGAGGAGGATAGCTAGCCGAGGAGGAGGAGAACAACTTCGATAAAATCTAACAACCCTCACCTGGCAGGTGGGGAATAACTATAAAAACTTCAGCATTTCAATTGATTTTGGTTGTCTCGCTATCGTAAAGCATCGTTGCGCCACAATATATTTTGAGCATATTTGAGCAGTCTACAGTTTCGATTGTTGCCCTCCGTGCACCATATGGAAACATCTTCATGTGCTCGTTTTGCATGGCGAATCAATGTGGGATGATTCAGGCCATGTATAGGCGTATAGGCATAATGGAGCTGTAAAAGGAAGAAATGCAGTCTTTTGCGTACGGAGCAAGGACAAGACACAACATAATAGCATCATGCCTGGTAAAGAACAGACATTCAGACATATTCAGACAAAGAAGAACACGAACATATCAAAATGAGAACGCAATGAAAAGAAGGAGGAGGAGGAGAAGACGAAAAAAAATATGTATGACTTTCGCAGAAAACTAGAACAAAAGTACTTACTGTGAACGATTGCTCTTGATGAATCATTACCGACGTTCTGTTTCCTCTACCATCAACTCCATTGTGTTTTGATTCAGAGGAAAATCACTGAAGTATGATGAAGTGTTGTGCAGGATTGAATTATTGTTTCTTTGCATCGTATTTTTGGTTTCTTGGATGCATACCCTCCCCGGCGAGAACATTCATCCATTACTTCCGCAAAAACCTGGGTCCCTACGTTGGTTTGCCTGAGGAAACGCGGAGTTGAAGCATCTTGCTAAAACCATGAAAGAGTATTTCACGCAAATCCTATTCCCAAGAACTTCTTTCCACGGTGAGCCCCCTCGCCCCCTATCTCCCAGAAACCTCGCCAAATGGTCTAGGTCAGCAAAACAAATCTTGAGAAATAGGATGTACCCAAGAAACGTTAAGTTCAGAAATGTGGGAAATCTTGGCTGCCAATAGTCCTTTCAAGACCCTTTCAACAGTTTAAGGAAAACACACACGCGCGCGCACACGGGTATCAGAACACCCACATCAAACATGCGCGTCAAGATGTGATAACAATTCACTTTTTTGAAGGCTGTAATTGGAGACGATGTCAAGCCAGTGACGAAGTGAGCATCATGTCATCAATTGACATTCAAGAACTTGCACTGACCTATTTTTTACGATGTATATTCTGCAGGAGATTCTGAACTTGAGACATTTCCAGTCGCATGACGCTATGCTTGGCACAAACTCGTTTCGTGGCTCAGAGTGTGTTTTTCAAGTCCAGATATTCAATGTTACTCTGTGTGTGTGTGTGTCAGTCAAGAGGTAGGTCGAAAGGAAGGTCAAAAAGTGGTTCAAAAGCCCTGAAAAGCTGTGACATATTAGATTGATCTAGTTATTATGATTTATATCAAACTTGACACAACTTGTTTTAGAATCACCGCTGTTATGTTTTATCTGTTATCAGTTCGCTATATTTTATCTGGAAGCTGTCGAAATTGCAGGTTTGCAAGTGCTCGGTCAGAGATGGCGTCTTTCCTTTTCTTGGTGCACGTGTTAGCCACTGAGCTGCTCCAAAGCGAATCGTCTTTCTTGCGGAAAGCCCTGAAGCAGAGGTGGGTGGCACTCCATGCCAGTCGTAGATTCTCGTAGATTGTCGTAGTCGTAGTTTATTGAGTGGAAGATGCATGAGTTCTACATTGGAAGATGTCGTGGTGCATCGCAACATATCGTGACATGTCGTTTCGTCGTAAGTGTTTCTGTGCGGCTCTCGTCAAATGCAGGGATGGCAGCAGAATCCTGGCAGGTGCGTCGCTTCGCTCTGCTTCGTTCTGAATCCATTCTGAATCCATGAATCCTTTCGTTACAGTGTTCAACATATTTCAACATGTCTTCATTCAACTTTGCTCTGACAAAATCGCGGTATGTATTCACAAAACATGCGGAAACACATCGTTTTCGTTTTCTTACGAGATCTAGTCTTACGAGAGGATCTAGTTCATCAGATTTCGTTGGATTCGATGTCGTTTCCAATCTCTGCAAGGCGATGAGGAGGACTCCAGAAACTCTCCAGAAACTCTGCCCTCAGATGTGCTCTGCTTCACCATTTAGCAATAAACCAATTAGCGCTGTGACGCTTCTCAATTTGTGAACTCATTTACACATATTAACACCGCTTGTGGCACAGTGCAATCAGATTATAGTCAGATTTAGTCATGTTGTGTAGTCAGATTGTTTCCCTTTGACTTTTGCCGACTTGAAAGTTTTTTGAACGGCAGCGAAACAATGTGTTACTAGCTGTTACACGTGTCCCTTGCAGAGGAGGGTCTAGCGAGTTTGACAGGGTTTTCCACGTGGCACCTCTCTCGGGAGAGTCGAACAACCGCAGAATTTCGACACTTGACGTCACCGCTCCTTCCACGTCGTGGATCATCTTCCAGTGCGACTCAGAGGCAATAAGTTAAAATAACAGTTCAAACACGTTAAAGTATGTTAAATTGAGGCCACACAAGCTAAATCAAGTGAATGCTGCTTGAAGTGGGTCAAGCAGTAGGACTTTTTGCACAGGGCAGGTCTCGTCATGTCATCATGATGTCATTATGACGTCATTATAATGTCATTGTGTTTAACTTGATTCAACTTGATTCAATTGCATTCGACATCATGAGCATCAGCGGTCTCTGAAAGGTCAACGCTGCACCGCCAACTTGCTATGACCTCTTGGCCGCAACTGGTTGCAATAAGCACCATGGGCGTTGCTAATCTAGCACACCCAGAAAAGTCTCAGTCTGAGGGTGTAGTTGTCATCGAGTTCGGACAAGCGAGATGGGTACGAGGATGTACCAGGTATATCAAAACCAAAGTCATTGCCCGCCAACCTCAATTACTTTTAAGGCATTTTGTCATATCTTGCTGCATCTTTGAAATTGTGATGAACTCAGCTGTTGATTGATGGATTTTGATTGGTTTTGTGTGAGGCGATATCGAGCAAGCTGCACACTGCGGTTTCTCTGAGATGGCGTTGTTCATTGAAGGTCTCCTTGTCCTATTGTTCTTTGGCATCATTTGGCATTAAATTAAAGCTTCGCACTTTTGCGATCTGAAACGAGACATCTTTGGTTGCTCTGCAGATTTTCTGCGCAGCCAGAGAACAATTTCACACTCTGAAGCCATATGAGCTGCATCAATGTGTGACCCAGTTTCCTGATGCAGCAATGTGGAACCAGACCTCTTGGCGTTTGCAAAAACAGCAAAACAACGGCGCTCAGCCTGATGTTAAAAACAATCAGGACACCAGGCGACAGGGACAAGACCTGCTGGCAGCCCTGGTAGAGCACTTCTGCTGTTACAATTCCATTAGACGTTTTCTCATTCGATTTGCAGCAACGATTTTGCCTTGATGTTTTCAGCGGCAAAAATAATAATTTTAGTTTTGCAACACTATCGTTGCCGCGTTGCCGGGGCGACGCGCAAGACGCAGACTCGCTGGCAAGACATGGCAAGACATGGCAAGACGCAATCGCCGAGACTTCGTTTGAAGCGGGTCACAGGGTCACGATGCGAGGCGCTGCCTCACCTGGAATCGGGAAGATCATCAAAGATCTGCAAAGATCTGCAAAGATCAAAGGGCTCTATGGTGAGGTGTGAGGTGAAGGGAGAGATATGGTGAGGAACGGTGAAGGATTGAAGGATGAACTGCTAAGATGATGCAGGATTCAATTTCAACTCTTAGCAGTTAGAGCAGGCGCCTTTGCCTTCATCTTTTCAGAAGTTCTGAAGTCTTGGTCTAGGACCGTTCTTCCCGAAGGTTATTCGCGACCCGAAAAGGTTCAGGATTCCTTAAGAGAAGGCAAGATTTGCTGAAAAGCCAAGAGGGAACCCAAGATGTGATCTCCGTCGATTTTCTCACAATCTCCTTGAAGGCTCAGATAGTCTTCTTTCAAGAGTGATAAACAATGATAAACATTATTGTGTGATAAACATTATTTGGTGCTCAGGCCCCACTTGTGCAGAATGGATTTCATTTCCTGAGTTCTCTCCTTGAGTTTCGCAGAGCGAAAGCTGAGGTTTGGGATTGATCTTGGATTTCAACAACGGCCTTGGTGGCAAACTGCTCAACCTTCTCGAACGGCGCTGTGTTGACATGTTTCTGAAACGTGCGGAATATGCTCATCAACATCTCATCACTCAAATTCTGCAAGTCTTTTGAAACTGGCACGTTTGGACACACACGCACACATTGAATTCGACCAATGGGAGGCAATGGGAGGCGGTTTGTTTCTATGGCATATGAGGATGTGCCAAAACCAGCCAAAACCTATAGTATTTTATTTGGGTGGATGAACATCCATTTAGCATCTATTTTGATAATTTAGAAAATATAATGAATAGATACGGGATGTATGCTTGCAATTGTACCAGCGGTCATATTATGTTTCTATATGTTTCTATTCAATTCTATTCCGCATTTGCTGCCACCTCAAACTCCTCCCGAGGCGTGATGGTGTGTACGGTCTCGTATTTATGCAGCTACGGCTCCCAGTACTCTGGGTCTGGGACCTCAGAGACAGGACATGGAAACAAATTGTCATCTAGTAAGATATAGTAAGATAACGTGACTGAATTCGAATTTATCATTTTTCGTATTTTATTTGTTGTCCTATTTGTACTATTTGTAAGACATGAGTGACATGAGGTTTGAACATGGAACTGTTTCTGTGTTCGCATGAAGCGGAATGGAACTATGACGTCTTCAGCATATTGTTTGCATTTTCCGGCAACAAGTCCACACAGAAAATCCTCTACTATTTAATGTAAATTAATTTATATTATGTATTTCAAGTGTTTTCCAAACACGTCATGACAACATGTCATTTCATTTTCAGCTGAAACTGTTGTTTGGATTGTGTCCACCGCAGTGGTGGGAATTGAGCTCAAAGAGGCCAAGAGCGCTATGCTGCTACGCCATTTCCTGACCTGTTCGGTCTTTCTTGCATGGTTGACTTCGTGCGCAACTACATCTTGTTGTTGGTAGCGGTTGCCTGAGATCACCTATGGCGACTTCCGGGACTACGGCATCAAGCCCTACGCTGGAAAGGCTCATGAATATGTTCCTGAGTTCTCAAACCGGGCATGTGGCTACAAAGAATTCAAGAAGAGGATCCAGAGCGAGACAGCCTTTAACGTCATGGCGCATTGACAGGCAGAGCTTGGGACGCAGTTGAAGATCTACAGATGAGCGACCTTGAAGCTTCAACCGGAACTTCGACGTTGTTGAAGCGCTTGGACGCCGTGTTCAAATACGATGCGATCACAGAGTTGCCCAATGACTTTGAGAACTTCTTCATGCACACCAGACGCTCAAAGAACCAGACAATCCAGGAATATACGGCAGACTTTGAAAGAGCACTATGAAAACTGGAAACACATGAGGTGAAGCTGCCGGACAAAGTGATTGGATGGTTCTACCTTAGAAGAGCGGGCTTGAAGCAAGATCAACGGCAGATGGTCATGAAGACTTTGTTGGTGGAGAAGTTGAACCTGGAGACCGTGCGGATGGGATTGAACTTTGTGATCGGCCAAGACAGCACTCCTGAAGTCAGTGCTGGGTATCCCTCCAAAGCCGGTCGCAACAAGGACTCCATCGAGGCTGATTATGAGCACCAGCAGAACTATGACATCGAGGCGGACTTTGACGACGCTTTTGATGAGAGCTACTTCCATGACGATGATGCAGCGTATTGGGATGATGACTATGAGGAGGAGACCGAGACGGCCTATGCTGCTGAGGAGATGTCTGCAGAGTGTGACGAGGTGTTTGCTGCCTACGTTGAAGCAAGACAGCGGATGAACCAGATAAGACCTGCTCGCGGCTTTTACCCAGTGATGGCGGTAGTGCCAGGACAGAACACGTCCAAAGGGCAGTCAAAGGGCAGTCAAAGGGCAATAAGTCTTCGAAGGGTTCAAAGGCAAAAGGGAAAGCACCTATGAAGCAGATGCCAAAACCTCCAACATGGCAGCTATGCTTGCAGAGGCCTTGGTGAATCAGGTGAATCATTGGGAAGATGTTCATGCTGCTGAAACTCTTGAAGAAGCCTACAGCAGATGTGATGGTGTTGGAGAGTTGGAAGGAGAGTCACCGCCTGTGACTGTCAGCGAGCCAGCGCAGAAGAACCGAGAACTCCAACAGCAAGTTGGCAGCCGACCTTTTGAGCATGTCCAGAGGCTTCGCAAGAACATGGGCCACATCAGCAACGACACCCTCTGCAAGATGCCTGAAGAAGTGCAAGCCACGGAGAATGTCCTGACGGCTGCAAAGCACTATGTTTGCCCTGTGTGTGCTATGCCAGAAAGCGCCCAGCACAAGCTCCAGCCAGCTCAGGTGTGAAAAGTGCAGAATACAATGAACACATCCAGGTGTACAGCCACTGGATCCAGTGTGAAGATTCAATCGTTCAACAACGTGCACCCGCAGCCAAACGCAAGAAGCGTGCATTGTCTGGCAGACAATGTGTGCTGACCATCGTGGACCATGCCACCCGATACTGTGCCATTTGCATCCTGAGAGGAGACAGACAGCTGAGGAGTTCACGAAGGGCATCGAACGTATGTGGTTTAAGCAGTTCGGCATTCCAAAGTACCTGAGGATTGATGAAGCGAAAGGTTGGACTTCAAAGCATGTGCGAGAATGGGCAAGCGGCCGTGGAATTGTACTTGAAGTTCAGGCAGCAGAACAACCGAGAGCAACACTCATGGCTTGGAGTGGTTGAAAGAAAGCACCAAGTGATCAGGCGAGCATTGGAGCTCTACCAGGATGAAGTCAACAAGCACGACCTCAGCAGTCTGAAAGAGGTTGCAATTTACGTGCCCCGTGCCATCAACCAGACCGAGATGGTCCGAGGCTTTACACAGCAGTGGGTCCTTGGCAAGTCCATGACCTACGTGCATGGCCTGACGTCCGAGATCTTCAATCCTGGACAAGAACCTCCTGATGAAGCTGGAGCTTTTGCGCTCATCCAGCAAAAGCGCTTGCGCGCACAGATGGCGTCGTTGAAAGCAGATTCAGATGCCAAACTTCGCAGCGCCTTCAACCAGAACTTCCAGGACGTGAAGGACATGTGAAGGACATGCTGGTGGTGGGACAGAAGTGTTGGTACTGTCGTGTTGCTGGGTCAGGAATCTTGCAGAAAGCCAAGTGGAGAGGGCCAGCAAGAGTTGTGGCAATTGAGGACCACGAGGGCACCAGAGTTTAATTTTGTGGCTTTGTCATGGAACAAGCTTGATCAGATGCGGTGAGCGTCAAGTATACGGCCACTCGTGGAGGAAAGTGGATTTCTGCAACCAGAAGATGTGAAAGCGGCTCTCAAAGATCTGGAAGATTTGAAAGCCAGATCGACACCTCAGTTCAAGGATGGAGTTCAAGCTGAAGTTGAGCCAGCTGTGGGGGACAACATGGATGATTCGCAAGTTCCCCCAGGATCAGCTGACTGACTGTGAAGCATTGCAGAAGAAGGTGAACCACGCTGGGAAGACGAGCAAGTTCTACCTGGAGTTGTGCGCATGGTTTTGCCCGTGCCAATCCAGAACACTGCAGCTGATCGAGACAGAACTCCACGACGCTCTCAACAAGGACATCCAGAAGAGTCACGCAGAATGTCAGTGGCATCAACTGTGGAACCTGAACGAGCTGACCGAGCACCTGAGTCCAAGGGCAAGATCTCCAAAGAGGAGAACAGAAGGAGCTGATGAGAACATTGAAAAGGCATCCAAGACTTATGCTACAGGCTCTACTGATGCCCATGCCATTAGAATTCAGCGAGAACAAGAAGCTGCTGCTCAAGTTCCAGCGCCACCCAGTGGTGATGAGTTGTATGTTGACGTGCTAGTGCATGATGTTGTTGGAGATTTGCCAGATGGCTGGAAGTGTGTCGAAGGAGGCTTCGAGCTTGATGACATGCTCTACACGGCTTATCGCAAAGGCGAGGTGAATCCAAGGCACCTCAACATTGAAGAGCAGCAGGAGTTTGTGGAGGCAAAGAAGCAGGAGCTTTCACAGTACCTCACCAACCTCGTTTGGGAGTTTGCGACCCGCAGTGAGGGCATCAAGGCAGAGCGCAGTGGCAGAACAAGTTCAGCCAGACGGGTGCTGACATGGAAGAGCCAGGAAAAAGCAGACAGGTCTACGAGGTTTTGAAGATCCAGATGTGCTGTCACTGCAGAAAGCAGCACCAACAGGAAGCAGGTTGTCCAAGAGTTTTCTTTTGACTTGGTTGGATGGCTTGGATGGGTCATGCTATGTGGTGATGTACGAGCAGGATTTGTTTTTTGGGAAGAACTTCACCCGCGAATTGGGCGTCAAGCTGCCACATGATTGCGCTGCCCTGCTTGGGGTCGAAGCACCTTGCTTTATGCGCACTGAAGAGCGCATATGGTTTGTCAGATGCGCCCCTGCTGTGGTATGAAGACGCCAACAGATGCAGGACAATGGATGGAGACGACATCCACTTGACAAATGCTGCTACATGCTGATTGATGGAGATGATGCAGATAAGGTGATTGCATGATCCTGCACATGGACAATGTCCTGATTGGAGGAGATCCCTACAACACAGAGTTCAATGGGGCAGGCGATTGTGAACTTCAAAAAAAACTTCAACTTCGGCAAGTGGGATCAGCTCTCCGAGACCAGCCCCATCAAGTATTGTGGTGGCATTATCGAGCTGAAGGACGGAGTTGGTCAGACATCATAGGAGGAGTATATGGAGTGAGCATGAGAAAAGGGAGCCCCATGACTGACTATGAGAAGTCAAAGGCTAGATTGGAGCCTTGCAGTGGCCAGCAGGTCAAGGTATGCCAGCCTTGGCGGCATCGGTGTCAATCCAGGCTAGTGACTTAGCAAGTGGTGAAGTCAAGGTCATGACTGAGCTGAACAAGACACTACGTTTTGCCAAGTCAGCGGCACAACAGAGGATGAAGTTTTTGGCGAAGCCTGAGAAGAACCAGAAAAGAAACATCCACGACCTTGCGGTCATCATGTTTGTGGACGCGGCCTTCAGTGTGAGAAAGAATCCTGGAAGCCGAGGAGGATATATCATACTGGCAGGAGATGCCCAAGTCCTTCGAGGTGAACAGACACCTATGTCCATATTGGCATGGCGTTCGTTCAAGCTGAACAGAGACTGCAGGTCAAGTCCGGCAGCAGGGTGTCAAGCAGTCTCTCAACTGGATTGGAGGAGCTGCTGCTGGTCAAGAACTATTTGACACACCTTCACCCTCCAGAGCTCTCACTGAAGGAAGTGCAGCAGAAGGCCAGTGGACAATGTGCAGTCATTACAGATTGCAAATCGCTGTTTGACGGTATCAAGCGTGAAACCATTCAACAGCCGGCAGACAAGAGAGTGTCTTTGGAATGCTTGGTCACCAAGGAGCTCTTCGAGTCCATGAAATGCCTGTGGAAGTGGATATTTTCGGCACGACAGCTTGCAGATGGCTTGACGAAGATTGCAGCGAGGCAGAATTTCTCAGACCGTTTTCGAGGACATCATGTACCTGGTGTCAGACGAAAGCTTCACTCCAGCGAAGAAGAAAACAAAGGAGGAAAGAAGATAAAGAAGGAAAATAATTCAGGAGACCATGGGATCGACATCCGCAGCCGCAGCTTTGGTGGCGATGGTGATGAAATTTGATGAATGACAGCAAGTGACAACAAGTCGATCATGAACAAGGTCTATGGCATCAACAATGGCGATTGGTGGATGATGGCGGTGTTTTGGCACCGCAACTATTGTTTTGCAGAAGATTGGCAAAGTCATGTTTTGGGTGAAACATCTTTTCGCCCTGCAGAAGATCCCTCAGCGGAAATTCCAAAGGCAGATTCGTGAGTTGGAGGAGAAGGTCGTTGACCTTGAGAATCAGATTGAGTTGCAGAAGCGTGGGTTTGAACAAGAGATCGATTACCAGGAGAAGGTCAAGAAGAGCCTGATGGAAATCATTGGAAATCCAAGAGATGCTGGAGGCCAACTCCGTGATCATCGAGGACACATGGATCATGCAATGCGCACCATCAGCAACATTGAGATGGCGATCAACCAGTATCACCAGGAGAGAAACAACTTGCGAATGCAGCTGGCGACGGTGGAAACATCGCGATATGAAATTATCACGACTAGACATGGACGTTGTTGGCACCTGAATCAGGACTGCCCACAATTAGCCCAAGCAGGTGTCACCAAGGTATTGCAACCATGTACAGGGTGCACTTAGCCCCATTTCCTTTTCCCCAATGTCAAGTGTTTTCCAAACACGTCATGACAACATGTCATTTCATTTTCAGCTGAAACTGTTGTTTGGATTGTGTCCACCGCAGTGGTGGGAATTGAGCTCAAAGAGGCCAAGAGCGCTACGCTGCTACACCATTTCCTGACCTGTTCGGTCTTTCTTGCATGGTTGACTTCGTGCGCAACTACATTTATATTTCGATACATGTTGATGTAGTTTTTTTTGGCTGATTTCGTGTGGCTCTGCAACGTGGGAATATGTTCGGCCCAACCTTTGAAGTTTTTTTTGAAAAAATGAAGTATTGCCTGCAGGGGTTCCCTGCGACGGGCCATTTCTCGTGGAGTTGGCGTTTCTGCCGGAGCAACAGTACCTGGACAAATTCGATCGCTTCACACGGAATTGGAACGATACTTTGTGGATGTTTGTGGAAACAGGTTGGGGTCTATGTTGGAATTATTTTTGATGTTTTGTTGATGATATGTAGGGTAGGGGGCTGTAAAATTTTCAATGATGTTTCTTTAAAACCAACATTTGCAGCATGTTTTTGTACAAGTCCCTTGATAGAAATCCTTTGTGTGCATTCCAAGGCCCTTTTTGCATGAAAAACCAACATCAGATATGAACCTAAACATATTGCTTACCCACTAGGCTTAAGTCGTATCAATCGACCTGAAGTCGTATCACACCTGCGTGCGCGCAGTGTTCCGTATAGATTTTGATAGTTCTTTATTTGATGGGTTATTTATTCGAACACTTTTTCATCGCTGTGCGCAATGTTTTGTTGACATGATTCTATTTGACCCTACTAGCCCTAGCGTTAAGTCGTATCAGCTCGTAGAAGTTGTATCGGGAGGCCGTGCTGCCTCCTGCTGCTGTTGCTGCTGCCTCCTGCTGCTGTTGCTGCTGCCTCCTGCTGCTGCTGCTGCTGCTGCTGCTGCCTCCTGCTGCTGCTGCTGCTGCTGCTGCTTCCGCCTGCTGCTGCTGCTGCTTCCTCCTGCTGCTGCTGCTGCCTCCTGCTGCTGCTGCTGCTGTCCTCCTCCTGCTGCTGCTGCTGCTTCCTCCTGCTGCTGCTGCCGCTGGTGCAAACATTTTGCCGAAAAAGAAAATTACAGTCTCGGTCGCCTTGTTTGGCGCTGGCGGGAGATACGGGCGGGAGACGCCAGCAGAGAGAGGGAATGTTTACAGAAGGCAGAACTTATGAAACATTCAAGCGGAAGCGGATGTTGACAGCGGTGTGCCACTAGGTTTTCAGATTTTAACGTTGTTGATATGATGATGTTGCCCATAGCTATTACATGGAAATCTATGTTTGTTAGGAAACAAAGTTAAAGATCTGGGAGGCCGTGTGCCATGGTGATTCCTCAATATATCCTTTGAAAACATAGTTTAAACATATGTGAATACCTCAGTGTGCGCAATGTTTTCTTCATTTTTGGAGATATAACAACATTCCTTGAAAGCCGGTGTGCCATTGGGATTTTGATATTTTGATGTGACTTTTGCCCAGTTGATGTGACTTTCTTCCAACTCGCTGTTACATGGGGTTGATGTGACTTCTGCCCAACTGATGTGACTTAAACCCTTCGCTCGTAGCAGTTCTTCAAAAACCATTCCATACGATTAAACTATTAAATCAGAATAACATCCTTTTGTTGACTTCAGGTCGGCAGCGTGTTGAGAACGCTTTGCATTTGGTCCAGGGACCTTCCTGGAACATGGGACTTGTCTATCGTGGTGACGCTTTTGATCATCCTCGGTTGGACGTTTCTCTCCACCTTGGTGAACTTCCGGGGTGGGCCCTATGCATATGCGCAGCCCTGAGAATCTACGAGGGAGAATGTGAGATATCGTCAAATGTTTCACAGTGTTTCACAGTGTTTCTGTCTGAGTGTTTCACCGAATCACAACAAGTCCAGGTGTTTCCATGTGTTCATATCTTGATTGAAATACCTGTATTTGTATGTGTCTCGTATTTGTGTGTCATTTTGTCACTGCATTGCAATGCATTGCAGGCTGGTTTCTGCGCGGCATTCACGGCCATCAAATTTCTTTCCTCCACTGGACCTGGTGGAGTGTTGCAGCTCTCTGCGACAATCACATCTTGCATGTGGGCATGTCGCTTGGCCTGAGATCCTGGCACATCCTGGCACATCCTGGGAAGGTTTTGAAGGCACTGAAGAAAACGCAGATGCATAAAGAAGGCTAACAGAAGGGAAGAGGATCGAAGAGCTGGAAGGATTAAACAAACAAAGTGACAAAACAGACTCAAGAACAGACAAAACAGACATCTCAAGAACGCAACTGGAGACGTTTTCCCGGGTCGAGGCCTGCTGGTGGTCCTGGTGGAGACGTGACTCTGTGCTATTCATCTGGCAGTGTAATCAGTGTAATCGCTATCGTCATTCTATCGTCATTCTATCGTCATTCTATCGTCTATCGTGGGAAATTGTCGTTGTGTTTCAGGTCTCCTGTCCAACCCGATTCAGTAGGATTCAGTAGCTTGCGTGTTCTGAGTTCTTCCGAGTAAAACCTCTTTCAACATGTTTTAACTTATCAAACGTGCAAACGCACCAGATATATGATGTATTCGGACATCAAACATCAAACATCATCAAACATAACCATGATACAATAGATATATTTTAATGGTTTTGGGGATCGCCACGAGCGTGGCAAGGTGTGTCCTTCCCGTTGATGCGCGTGACCTGCTGTGCTGCTCCAAGTTGACGTGTGACGCGACGTGTGACAGGGTACCACATGCGCATACAGGGCACGTAAGGCCGCATGGATACAGCATGTTACAGCATTGAATATGTGATGAATATGTTCCCATATGACTCGTATGAATTCGTATGACTCATATGTTCTCTGACAGATTGAGAAATTATTCTCTGTGTCAGTGTCAGAAAACGAGGCAGGGGAGAGTGGTGGCAGCCTTGATGGGTGTGCGGGCAGTGCTGCCTGCCCTGGTCTCGGCTGATGAGTCGTTGGTCAAAAATGTGAAGGACGACACTGGACGACGTGACGTTTTCCTTTGCCGATTTTGCCGGCTGGGGGAAAGATGCATCGGAAAGATTCTGAGTTGGTAGAGCATGAACATATACACTGCGTGCATTTCCACTTGAGAGTCCGGTTTTGGATTTTGAACCCCCTGTATCATAAGATACGCTTTTTTGATCTTTTTTGTGAATGCAGTATAATCATGCGTAGTCCAAGCCTTCTTTGTGGAAAGCAGGACTAGTAATGTTCTTTTTTTCTAGCTCTAATTATGAACGGAGCAAAGCCAAAGACAAGGGACAACTAGAGCAGGACTGAGATTTACGATTCTTGTGGTGTGAATCCTTGCAGCGCCCTGCAAATGCGTCTCTACCAAAATGTGCTGCGAATCCCAAGAGCCACAATATGCCCCAATATAGGCTTCGTGACTTGCAATTTAACCCCAAGCAGACTAAGCAGACAGAAAAGCGAGTCTCAGATGCAAGCGGCGAGCGGTGGAGTTCTCAAAGTGTATCACCCCCTTGCACGGTGCATACGGTGCATCAGACATGTAAATCATGGCATCATCATGACATGTTCATCATGTTCATGGCTTCCTGCGGCTTCCTGATGTTCCTTGAGGAGGATTATGGCCCTTATGGTTCTGGTCCTGGTGCTGGTGTGTCCAGCTGGCCAGACCTCACAGAGCGATTGAAGAAGGTTGGTGCCTACGAGAAGTACCTTGAGTGGCGAGAAGGTGATGGCATAAAATGTGCATGACATGTGCACGAAGCATCACGAAGCAAAAAAACGATATTTTCGACTGCCGTATACTGCCTTGAAATTGGGCAGGAGGACAATGACCATAACCATGTGTTGCATTTTTTTTGAAGATTTTTCCCCAACAGCGTTAGCTGTTCGGCTTCTGGTGTGGGGTTCCAGGATGGGTTCGAGAGGTTTCGGTGTGGGCTCCACTAGTAGTCACTAGTTGCATGTGGATCATGTGGTTGTGGAGGTTTTGGGGTTTCCATGGGTTTCCAGACACTTCCGGTGTGGCTTCTCACAGGTTCTGGGCAAGAGGTTCTCATGTGATCCGGTGCAGGTTGCGGGGTGGTTCGAGGTTGTTCTGAAGGTCACTGACTGATAGGTGGTTTTGGAGGTTTGGTGCTGGTTCCGGGGTCGGTTCCTGTTCCAGTGTACAAAGCACAAGTCAGGTACAGTCAAATAGGCGCAAACTGGATGATGTCACACTTTCCTACCTCCTTTGCTGTTGATTAGCTGGGCTTATTTTTCTGTGTGCGTGAGTGTTTTTTCACGTTTCTGCATGTTTGTTCACTTGCATTGACATTTAAACTTTAAACTGTATTGATTTGTATCGATACATCTTTTAGTTGCCATGAAGGTTACATGCGCTGGCGGATGGGAGAAAGCAACGGTGCCAAAGGGGAGATTGTCGTTGACACAAAGGCAGCTCCAATGGCTCCAAAGGCTCCAAATGCAAAACTTTCGAAGGCAAAACTACTTAGTTGGGGCCTGAGCCGCCTTGTCACAGCTTTGTCCATGGCTCAGCTGGCGCTCTGCCATGCTCTGCCTTTTGGAAATCAAAAAAAAGGCACTGAGATGCTCTGAGTTGTGCAGTGTCAGGAGATGATTCAGACCTTGGCACCTTCCAACCAAGAGACCCAGCTCCTCATTTAGCTTCGAAGAATTTGGAGGAGCATGGCTTGAAACGGCTTGATACACGGCATAAGAGGCATAACAAGAGGCATAATACGCGGCACTAGTGCGTTTCGCAGACCGGTCTTCAAACAGCCATGGTCAGACCATCGAAAGCGCATGAAACATACTGAAACATCATGAACTGAACATGAACTGAACATGAAGCTGCAGTGTAGCAGTGCGGACCCGGTGCGTTTCTGTACATTGCAAGACGTGCTTGAAACCCTCAGCCATTTGAGTTGCTTGCAGGCCTCTTTGGTAAAGGCCTTTTTGTGAACCGAGATCTTGCAGTTTCGTACTTTGTAGTCTACTTATGTCTACACTTGTTTGAAGTGGAGGGTGTTGAAAAGCATTGTGGTTTTAGTTCTCTTGGTAGTTGGATCCATGTGTACTTCGGTAAAAGTCTTTTTAGGCAGCGATATGATGGTCAATCGATGTATCATGCTGAGGTACCAGAATGTCGTCGGTTTGACAGTTTTTGAGAAATTCTTTAGGTCTTTCAGCATGTGTCACACACCACGAATGTTAGTTTCTTGTAGGTGGAGGTGTTTGTACATCAGCAAAGTTTGTGGAGAGACAGAAAACATGAATAACAATGAACATGTGAAGAAAGCAATAAACATATGAACACATAATTTCACGTTATACTACTACTTGCACCTCCCCCCAAGCTGGACAGTCACCTCAACATTCTCTCCAATCTTGCTACTACCGTGGATGCTTCACAGGTCATTTTGCTATGGCTCGTTTGTAGTAGTACCAGTGGCCAACATGGTCGCTTCATGAGCGGTAATACTTTGTAATTAGGGAAGCGCAAATATTGTTTATTGATTTCTTAGATTTCTTAGTGATGACTCATGAATGTAAACTGGAGAAGAGCTGTGACTGTGCCAACAATAGCTCTACCACTGGTTTGGGGGTGGAGGTATGTTTGGTGCCATTGCAGTCAGTTCTACAGCATTCAACGTAGATGACGCGTGTACTGTTTCATGGGCATCACCCCAGTGCATTGGCACACAAAAAACAATTGAAGAGATCACAGCAAAAAATCCCATGTCACGGTGTTACCATGTATATTCGGTAAATAGTAACACCAGATAACACGAGAAAACTACATCGCTGAGTTTCAGGGCCGTTTGCAGAAGATCCTACCCAGCTGCAGCCTGACACCATGCTTAGTGAGATAATTGCGGATCGCTATTTCCAGCTCCCTTCCAGGTCTTCAATGCCAACGCTGCCAAAAAGGCACTGTTTTGTGATAATATTAATGTATACGAATATTATACGTATATCCGCATATGACTATCGCGTTCATGAATATAGATTATATATATATATATATATACACGATATGTTGATAGTATTGTACTAGTATATATTGTGTTGTATATATGTTTAATTTATTTTGTTACGTTCGCGAAACCCATCCACGCGGAAAGACTCGCAGGGCTTGATGTTTTGAACATATCTGAATCAAGCAAAAGGAAATTCTACGAGTTTTCTATAGTTTTCTTAAATTTATTTGTCTGGTTCAAAAATGGTTTATTTCGACATGTTGATCTGATTTTTAATTTTTGAGTTTGCCAGGAAAACACTCCAAAGGAAGGCGTCCAGCTGATGATGGCACCAGTGAAAGGTGATATTGTTGCAGATATGCCTGAAGTAGCAGCTGTTCTGCATCCTGTAGCGGTGCCCAGCTTGAAAGAGCTTCTGAGTGAAGAAGGTCGGGCTGTGACAAGATGTGACAAGATGTGACAAGATTGCACAAACGAAACCACACCAATCCGAATCTTTCAAGAGTGTGGTTTCTGACTGATCGAAATTTGTCGAAAGATCGAAATACACCTGGATATATTTCGACAATGGGCTACTCTAGTCCCTAGGCCATCTCAGGCCTCAAAGCAGATTCTCCAAGTCCAGGGTTTCGATGCACAGCAAGAAAACAATAGGAAGACATTTCGTTCACATCACGTTATTACATGTTCTTACATCGTTTTACGTTTTGAGTTCGTTGATTCGGAGCATCTTGCATCTTGATCTTGTTGATTCTTGTTGATTCTTGTTTTGCATGCAGGTGATTGGCAAAGACAGGAAAGCGAAAGCCGTGGCAAGCCGATGACTGTATCCCTGGCTTCGATCCAGGAAGTCTTGGACGAGATCCGGGATGCCTTGGAAACTCGTGAGCAAATTGAAAGATCGGTTTTGCAGATAATTGAAAACTATTGAAAAATCGAATGATTATCAAATTATCAATAATCTAGTGAGCTGGCAGAAGCTGTTTTGATTTTGAGAGCATAAACATGGATGACATGATGACGACATGATGACGACATGATGACGACATGATGATGACATGCATGGACCCGACGTGCTCACGGCTCACAGTAATCACGGTAAGGCTCCGATCGAAGAGCTGGCGCTTCAGGCGGCAGAGCGTTTGGATGGTTTGAAGCTTGATGGCAACGCCTGGTGTTCTTTGGCTGATCGCTTGCGTGCCTTGGCTCATTGTGTCGGTCAATAGCACACTCACACTGCACATCACTGCACTCACTCCCTTTCCAACCCAACATGTGATTAAGCAGAGTTTCCAGGTCAGATTATCTAAAATTAGTATGGTTCGCATGTGTTCGCATCTACAAAGGGCTTCAAGAAAAGAATGCCAGAATCCTCGTTACTCGTTGACGCTCTTTGTGCCATCGAAAAGTCGTGTCATCGCTTCCGTGATGTTCCATGTGGAAGTGCAGCAACGGCACGTTTCAGCTTAATTCTTTCTGACGTTTTTGGTTCTCAATTTCTACGCAAAAAAACAGGATCCTCTTACAACATCTTACAACATCTTACATCTTGCAGCTCTCGCTTACAAACCTCTCTTTCGGTCCAAGATCTCCAAGATCTCCAAGATCTCCAAGGCATCATGCGTTTGTGGCTGTCTGTGCTTGGGCGAATCGCAAAGCGTTTGGGGCACGGCTGTTCTCTGACCGACCTCATCGGCGCAGATAACACGGCGGCTGCAGAAGATCTGCTCAACACCGTCAGGCCACAATTCTCTTCCATATGATTTCCATATGATTTCTATATGGGAATTTCGGATTTTTTCGGAATTTCAGCCAGATTTGCAGTTTGCAGTCATTTGCAGTCATCCCACGAGAGTTCTGCTTGGTTCATGTCACTCCAAAATTCAATGCTTCATGTTGATCCATTTCTCAGGGCTACGCTGGCCGCTGCCGTCAGGCGCAAAAGCAGATGAACTTCAGAGAAATTGAAACAGAACATGTGAGAATTGAAGAAAGTCCAAAGGACCAGAAAGACGCGCTGCAATCATAGCAACAATATTAATATATACCCCAGGGTATATATATATATAAATACAATGCATATACAATGCATATACAATGCATATACAATGCATATACAATGCTAAAATCACGGAAGGACATTTGAAAAGGCCTAGGGCCTAGCTTCAGGTGGCTTCAGGTGGCTTCAGGTGGCTTCAGGTGGCTTCAGGACTCCAGGACCGGAATGGAAAACACAAAGAGGCTGTGGAGCGAACGAGACTGAACAGTGACAGCAGTGACAGCCTGACAGCCTGAGTGACAGTCAGGCTGAAGTCCATTGAAGTCCCAGCATGTCTAGGTCTCTTTAGAATTCTTTAGACATCTCAGGTTTCCATTGGTTTCCATTGGTTTCCTAGTTCTCTGACAGGAGAATTCTTCCACAGAGAGTCTCTCCAGTTTCCTTGATTTTCTGTGGGAACATTGATGATCGGAATGTATTTAAAATCATTTTGACATTTTTTGAAATACAAATGTCACAAAATGTCACAAAATGTCACAAATGCATCGTGCACGTATTTTGCATCCGCTGCAGTTCTGTGGCTGGAGATGTGCCATTGGCTGCTGAATGTGCCAAGCTGGAGGCGTGGCTTCTAAAGAATCAAGTCTGAGAAAGCACACAGGTCAAAGATATCGCAAGCCCCGAAGTTATAGAAATGAGACTTAACAACTTACTGTACTATCTGGTATTGGATCTAGTATGATGTAATATGAATATGTAATTGAATGTAGAGATGCACATGTCTTATGGTGCCAGTTTAAGTCAATTTAAGATGTAAAGGTTGTAAGGCGACACGGTGACGACACAGTGACGCCACGGTGACGCCAGGTTCGACTGCGCAGCTCCCGGCAGGGCTTGTTGGCCGCGCTGGGCCGACACGCCTCCCAGGGCAGAAGCGAGTTGGCTGCAGAGGCTCGGAGCGACCCGTTCCATCAGAAATCCATCAGAGAGACCGGGCGCCGTAACATCAACTCGCCAACTCGCCAAATGCCAAGGAAACATTCTGGGAAACCACAATAAGTTCTGGAAATCACAACCTTTTCTGGATAGTTCTTGCGCAGTTTGTATGTGATATGTCCATGATGGTTAATGACCGTTCATGTGTCATTGAAGACTTTGGCATTTGCCAAGGTCAAGATAGCAGGGGCTTAGTATGGCTTAGTTGGTTGCAGGCGAATTGTGGTCACTGATGGTCACTAAGGTGCTTGCCCTTAGTGCGGGTCATGCGTTGATGGCCTTGCTGGCTGATGCTGGACGCTGCTTGGCGCTCTCTGTGCGGATGGCATCGTCTGCAGAAGATGAGGCGAGCCCTTCGCCCTACGAGTCGCCTCTACCGCGCGAAACGTCGATTTCAATGCTCCCCGATCTCACTGAACGTTCCTGGGCAGAAAGCTATGCAGAGATGCAAGGTGCACAAACAAACCGAAGGAATCCGTAGAACAATTATGGTGAAGAACATCTGAACATGTCTGAACCATTCTGAACCTGAAGCACCTTGATCACGGAGGGTGGTCCAGGCTACCGGAGTTCCTTGATGTTCCTTGTACTTTAGTATACTTCAGATCACTTTAGTACTTGGGAAGCATTCACTTACTCAGATTTTATGTATTGGTGATTCACTCCGGGGTAGACCCCGGCCTATCAAGTTCGTCGACGTTCGTAGAGGCACCCACAGATCGTGACAACAATTCTTTCAACATTCTCCCATCACTTCTTTATTCAACAAGCTATCACTTCTTGACATTCTCCTTTCAGCTGTCCAGCAATCCTTTCCACTCTGCCCGGACAGCTTGCTCCAACAGTCGTTCAAAACGGTTTCTTACACCGCCTTTAATACTGCCTTTTTCCGCCGCACACCTGAAAGCTTCGCCCTGCATTCCTTCCCTTCTTCCCTCGCTACTTTACAAAGTTCTACAGCGAGGTGTTCCTTAAACTATCCTTTTCAACTTTACTCAACACTTCAATCCTAGCGATCATTCTTTCAATACTCTTTTTGAAACCTGATTTGAAATTCTTCTCCCAACAGTCTCTTGATGTCTTTTGTAATGCTTCTCTCAAGACTCTGTCTTTGATGGTCTTTCGACTACACAGCCTGAATAGTCTCAGGAGATACGATCGATTCAACGCTTGCACTCTGTGACAACACTTCTTCGACGCTCTTCTCTCAATACAAATCCCCCAAAAAATATTTTGCATTTTCAAACAAATGTTCACAAGTCGTTTGTCCAAGACACCGTCGCACTGCCGCACCCTTTCATCACCTTCTGCACCAGTCCTTGGCAATCTGACATTTTCTTTGGCTTTGTATGGTACAGGATTCGGATGCTAACGGATTCCACAAGCGTACTTGACCATGCGCAACCATACACAAACTTACACTTTTAGTTCTGTCACAATCTCATTTGAGGTGACTTTTACCTTGAACAATTTTTCGTCACACTTTTTTTGAAGAATGGGTCCATAAAATGAAATTGTGTATTGTCACACCAACGCAAGCTCGTGCGGTAGAAGCTCCTAACGCAGCACTTATCTTGCGTCCACCTCGTCCCTTTCAAGCCAGGATAAGTTTCGTTGCAACAATGTTGAAAGAGATGAAAGAGACTGTATTTTCTGAGCTGGTTGAAGAGCGCACAATGGGAAGGAACTGCTCTGATAGAGTGGTAGCCACTTCTGAATGAATCGCTTTTTGCGCCCCCTGATTGGATTGTATCAAAATGTATCAAATTTAAATTTGGCGCGCATTATTCACGGCCAGGGGAATCACTGGTACTGAACCCTTGGTGCCCTCATGTGTCCTCAAAATCTTAGGTCTAAAACAGCAGGGCCAATACGAGAAGTATGTCAAATGGCGCGATGGCAACTGAGCTGCTTCAATACCACTTGTTTCAACCGTGAGCGGTCCAACGACTAGTGGCTGCCATTTCTCGACAGCTAACTCCTGGAGCGGATCAATAGCTTAATATATACTTTATACTTAAAATAAACATCTGCACCTAGCTGCAAGCTTAGTCACTATTGCATTTGCTGTATTGGACAAATTGCACCAAGGCTGATTTTTGCTGAGAATGTTGCCTCTGACCTTGCGTTCTTAGCACTGCCAGCGAAACTGAGGATACAGGCAATGGCGATCAGGAGGCATTTCTGGGTCCAAAGGTGAGATTGTGGAGAATTCGACAACTTGAGAAAATTGACGATCTGAAAATATCTGAAAGAACTATTGCTACTATTTTATTGATACGTGATTGACAGCCTGCAGTTGTAAGCTCAGATGGTGGAGCGTTGATTTCATTACTTCTATATAAAGACTATTAAAGACTGGCAATATGATGAAATCAACTGGTTGCTTCCTGATGCTTTTTCTTCCCAAGGATTTGGAGTTCACGTTCACCTTTCCAGAATTTTGAGGATTCGCTTTCTTTGCTATATTTATTTGCTTGGAAATAAATTGATCCTTTCAATATAGCCGAAAGATAACTGAAAACCCAACCAGAACTGAAAAATACTGGACAACCAATTTCATTGACTCTATTTGCACCTTTGGAAACAATACTTATTACGAAAACAACGGTAACGACATTTAAATATATGGAGGGCGGGCCAGACAGCGAGGCCCCGGAGGTAGTATGAAATACATTGAAATACCGATTTGTATATTTCAATATATAGTTACCGTACCTTTTAATGATTTGGATTCCGTATGTTTAAATGGCCAGGTGGGCCAAGGAAAACCTTCCCGGAGGTAGTTTAAAATATCTGTTCGTATATTTAGAAACCCGTATATTTAAAATCCCCATGGCAATTTCCCTTACAATATCATGGGGGTCGGACCCCCAAAACATAAGTTTTTTACCTTTGATTTTGTAAGGAGTGCACCTTACAAAATCATACCCTAACCCCCAGAAATGAAGGGTATAACATCATGGAAGACAGGTGGACATATAGCAAGATGGATGGTCTTGATTTTGTAAAGGGGCCTGATCCCTGGATGGGGGGGGCCCAAAATGGTACCAAAGTTAGAAAATTGAGAGAGATTTTTGAGCATCTAAAATGACTTTTGGGTTGATTTTGTAAGGATCCATCTGTTTCTAATATTTTCCCATGGTAAGGTTTGATTTTGTAAGATTTAAGGGCTCCATATGAATTGGTGCTGCTGCAGCGCCATATGAAATGGTGCTGCAGAAGCGCAATATGAAATTTTGCTGCATAAGCGCTGTATGAAATAGTGCTGCATAAGCGCTATGAAATGGTGCTGCATAAGCGACATATGAAATGGTGAGAAAAAATATAAAATGGAAACTACGATAAAATGGTTCGAAAAACTGCTGCTGATGTGGAACCACAAACACCGATGGGGCATTCCAAAATCACGGTCTACGTACCCAAAAACGACAAAACATGGCTCAAAACCTTATAAAATCATGAACCATTGTGACATCAAACCTTGGGGTTATAGGGAAAAGAAAAAAGAAAATGCATGCTACATCATGCTACAAAATCAAGGGGCCTGACCACAATCCTTATAAAGTCACGTCCCATTACAAAATCAATGGGTGTGTTTTGGTACCTTTTTTTTTTGAGATGATTTTATTTTTTTTCATGATTTTTGGGGGGATGATTGCGCTGTTAAAATACATGTAAAGCCTTGATTTTGTAGTGAAAACTATGCTCTGAAGGTTAGGCCCCAGCTGTGTACTTACAGAAACACGGGGGTGCGACCTACTCACTGAATTTCAAGTAGAATGAAAAACCAATGAAAAACCAAAGAAGGAACAAGTAAAAACAATGGAAAGCCAAGGATAATTTTGCCAGCATTCTAAGTTACTTTTTGGCGGGGACTTTTGGCCCCTATTTTTTTAGTTTACCATCTTCAATGGGGAAAGAAATAAGAGACATTTTGAAGGGAAAAAGGAAACCTGTCTTGAGGTGCCTTGGATCCTGTATGTTCACAAAACCCTGCAAATATGCAGTAAATTGCATTTTTTCTTGCATATGTGCTTCAAACGGAGTTATTTTCCTGTTTGCTGTTTTTGGGGTACCCTTATGGAGGAAAACACGCCGCGCGGAGAGAACTTAGCATGCCATTTTATACCTAAAATATGCATTTTGCATGGCAATACTGTGGTTCACGGTCTGGCACATTGAAACTTAGAATATTCCCTGGCCGGCATTCTAAAATACCTTAAAAAACATGGTTTTTGGCGGCACTCAATTTTAAAAATCAAAATTTTGGAAAACTGGGCAGCATTCTAAGTTGCAGTGTGTCGCTCTATATATTATACACTATTATACAGAAAGGGGTGTTGTGAGCGCTAAAAAAGCGAAATTTTGGGGATATGTAGCCTTGATACTATGGATGGTTTCATGTTTTTTTGCGCTCAAAACAGCCTGTGTGAGTAGGACGAATCATTTGATATACTAAGCAACCAATGTCTGCTGTCTGCTGTCTAACCCGAACTACAAAAATCCTCCAACCCGAACTGCGCAATCGTCTAACCCGAACTGCAAAATTGTCGTCTTCGCAGTGCTTAGTCCTGCGAAGATTCTCGGATTGACTCGTGACTTCTTCCTTTCGACTGGAGCGAACCAAAAAAACAAAAAAAAACAAAAAACAATGTTTCCACAACTACTCTGATGTCTGGACTAGTTGCCAAATCTTTGTTTTTTTTTGTTTTTTTGTTTTTTTTGTTTTTTTGGTTTTTTCGAAGTTTTGCATCCCAGGATTAATCCAGATTAATCCACATCAATTCTGCTTCATCCCTTCTCTAACGCATCCCAAACAATGAACTACTTTTGCTTTTAGGAGCTCTCAGCTCCCCCCCCAAACAGAAAACTAAAGGATAGGTCCTGGCATTGCTGTTATCCCTAATTGCTCTCATTCGCGTGTGTTTGGCTGTCGTTTATCCACTCATGATGCTTCTTGGCTTTCTTTTGCAGAACGGCAGCCCCTGGGAGTGCAGTTTTCCCATGATTTAAGATGATATTTTGAGATGTTTTACTGCATTCCCCAAGGCACTTTGACAGCTTTGCCTGTGATTCATGCCAGTTTCCTTGAAGTACCCCACACTTGGTAAAAACCTTGGAAAAAAGAAACAAAACACAATATTTCTAGACTCTTTGGAAGGGGGGGTCCCAGCCAAGACTCTCTGAAACTTTTTTTTTGTTTTTTCCAAGTTTTTTGTGTTTTGGTAACTTTCAACCATCTGCACCTTTTTGTAGACTGTGTGTTCCAATTTTGAAATGTTCGGCCATGTCCTAGATAATAACCTTAGTTTCATGCTATACTTTTTTGAAAAACATGTTGTATAAATTGGTGGCACACTTTGCTGAAGTAATAATGACCATCTTCTCAAGCATTATTGCATCATCGATGGAATCTGCTGTAGGCTCATGTTACACTTTATTGGAGGGATGCTACACAGATTTGCCAAGAAACTATTCACTTTTAAAACTACATATACATACATAGACACACATGTATATATATATATACATACACATAAATATGTGCATCTTCAAACTTCAAAGGAAGGCTTTCCTTGATTGACACAGATTTTGCACAGTTTGCAGTAATTTGACATTTTTTTTCGAGCAAATGCTGCACTAGTTTGAAAGAGATATTGTAGGTAGTTGTGCTACTGCACTCTTTTCATAGGCATGTAGCACTTGCTTACATTTAACATGATTATATTTGAATAAGTTTGCATTAAGATCTATAATCTATAATTACATTTTTTTGCGCATTGTTTGAAGCCATATTCTACTTTGTTCACAAAGAAAGGATATTGCACATTTTGAAGACTTTTTGAAAGTCGAGTCACATAGCACCCTTTTCAAAACAAAACAACATTTCCATAGAACAGTTTTGAAAGGATATGCTGCAGAAGGTGGTGCAATACTTGCTTTACAACAAAAAACACATATTTTAAAAACAGGCTTTTGCATCATCAATGGAATCTAGAGTAGGCTCTTGCTACACTTCCTTACAATAATGTTGCCCACTTTGCAAACAAGAATCTGCACTTTCAAAGGTAAAACACGTGTTTCAATGTGTTAGTAAGATGGCGCTCTTTTCAAAACCATGCTGTAGTAATTCAAGAATAGATTCAATCTTGCAAAACAGCATACTACATTTTTCCTACAGGAATGCTATGATTTCTGAAATCATTCAGTACATACATGGGAGGGTTCTCGTTGAAATTGGGAAGTAATGCTACACATCTTTCAAAGAATGCAACAATGCGTGCAAAAGGTTGTTGCATACATGGAGGAATGGTGTTCTTTATGCACAGTCTTTTTACAAGTGATGTTTGCATGTTTATTTCCTTCATTATTTATAGAGAACAAATTGCATAAATTGGTGCCTGCTTAAAATGCACATTTTTTTAAATGCTACTTATCTTTCAATCAATGCCACACTTTTTGCAAAGGGACTGTTACATTGAGGAATGGCGTTCTTTATGCAAAATTATTTTACAAGTGCAGTTTGCAAATTCATTTTTCCTTCATTGTTTATAGAGAACATATTGCATAAATTGGTACCTGTTTAGAATGCACATGTCCAAAAGAACTATTGCATATGTTGAGGGAAACTCCTGTAGAGATGTAGAGTCTATACATTTTTAAAGCAATGCTGCACTCTTTGGAAAGGCACTTACACTTGTTTGTTTTGTTGTTTTTATCTATTATTCATGTTTGCTTTGGCTGAAACAATGTATCTATAAAGGACATTGGGAGAGCTGTTGAGAATGCACAGTGGTTGCTTTTGTTACAGAAGCAACAATGTTTGGTTCTGGAAAGAACAGGGTTTGGTATCTTTTGCAGAAATGAAATGTCAAAAATGCAAACATTTTGGCGCTCACAACACCCCCCTCCCATATTATATAATATATGCATAAAACTGTTTCTGAGACATGCCAGATTGTCGAAGGCTCGCAGACCGATTTTTTTGGGGTCCAAGTTGGAGCAGTCTGCTGCGAGAAGTGGATTTCAAAATTTGGGATCTCAAATCTGCTACAAGTGGTGATTTAAGCCTCCACAAATGGATGATTTCATGGATATTGATCTCAAATCTGTTGATCTTGGCAGAAGTCGAGGAACTTGGATTCGGATCTCCGATTTTGAGAAGTCCCAGAATTGATGCGACATGGCATGGGTCCCATTTTGGGGTATCAATGGATCCAGGGAAGTGGTCATTGTTATTCTTTTTGCTGTGCCAAAATGGAAAGGTTCATAAATTTCAATCCATGCCCACAGTGTCGCAGACCAATAAATAAAGAGAACAAAGTGTCTCCCGCTCAAATACTTCCAGGCGATGAAAAGTGCTCTTGCGACGTGCGTTGACTCAATCTTCATTTCCAAAGTTTCAATAGTTTCAATTTGCTGCGCATTCGATATTTCGATATTGCTTCTGCTTGGAAGGATCGTTACACTCATCACGGATCAAGGCAGCGAGTTCTGGTCTTTTTCATTCGTGCCAGGCGGAACAAACTGAACAGACCCAAAGGACTAACTACGTGATGTGGAAGAAAAAGGCCCAGAGGCTTGCCAAAGACATCAACAAGCGCAGACTGGTAGGTCTTCAATGAAGGGACACAGAAATAGATGGATTCTCCATGGTTTTGTCCATGGTTTCCTCTGCAGAGCTACAAAGATCTCGAGGAGCGGCTGCTTCTGCGATATTTTGCAAACGCAGATGGAAAGAATCCCTTCACCCATTGTATCTAATATCAAACATCCCCCAGAAACCATGGTGAAATGTCGGGGATGAACCCACATATTTGGGACCATGGAATGGGGATGTTTAATATGAACGGGGGATGGGACTTCGTATGAACTTTTTGTGCTGCTTGAAGACGTTTCGTTTTCCGACAGGCTACGTTGCAGGGAAACGACAAGACTGAACGAAAGAACCAGAATGAGGCTCGTGTCGCGTGTTTCATCCAGAGAGATTTTGGACGGTTGACATCAGGTGTTACTCTCAATTAGGGAGTCCCCCAATAAAAATCCATGGGATGGGCCTACTATTGATGCATTTTGGCGGTTGTTGGGGCCCACAGCACTTTGACCCTCCTATCTAGTATATGCTGTCGTAGGCAATTCTGAACCAATCTGATGCTGCAGATTTTTGGGAACATCCATCGGAAATCATGATTTCTACATGTTCTTACTCTGAACAATCCCATCCCCGTAATATTAAATACCCCCATATGGGAACGGTTTCAATGGGGGATATTTTGGTGTCCGAGTTTCCAGTAAAGTTTCCATCCAATATTGGGGAGTTGGATATCTCACAAAGCAGCAGTTGCACAGAGGCAGGGTGCTCATGGGGGAATATCTCAAGGTTCTGCAGGGTAGCTGCAAGGCATTTTGTGTTCTTAAGGCTTGTGTAAATCACTGTGCCATTCGGCAGACGGGCAGCTGCTTAAGTTGGTCACCTGATAGTCTTGAGACAGTTCAGGCGGCTCTGTGTGTGTACTCTGGTGCCGGGTGCATTTTTCGGAACAAAAACGGAGTCTTATCCAACTCGCGTCCAGGAGGCAATCTTTTGATGGATTTGGATCGAGTGTTGAAGCTCGCAGTTGAAGGTTCAGTCCAGTGCCCAGTTGCAAGCTTGCCTTGTGGAGGGAGGTGCCGGTGCTCAGTGTTGAGACACAGAACAACATGATGTCAGTGGTTCTACATGAAGGATTGTTTGGTGGTTCATCTGCCTTGTTGTTTGTTTCAGCATGTCTCACTCGAAAGAGCCGACCGAGCTTTCGTCTAAAATAGCCGGTGTTTGCTTCAGAATTTGGATGCTACAAAGCATTGCAAAGCTAGGAGAATCATTTCTCATTTCGCGGACCCACAGGCACAGAACTTTGTTTCGAAGAAGATCCTGCTGGACACATGGATTTTAAAGTTTCTGGGGCTAGAGACAATTACAGAAAGTAACAGGGATCACGGCGGCAGTGGTCGCGCGGGATGTGCCTGCGCTGTTTGCTCTCTACGTGACGGCTCCTTTTGGCATGGTCAATGCAGGCCGACTGAGTTTGAGTTCGATTTCCAGCTGTCTTTTGAGTTTCCTTGACTGGCAGCATGACAGGCACCGTTTATCAACGTTGCCGGTGCGGCTGCGGGTTAATTTGCGACCATGCCGATTTGCAACGTCATGAAGCACGCTGCACTGGAGAAGCGAGGCTGGAAGACTGCGTTCGGCTGCCATACGCTCCGGTCATTACATGGCATCAAACAAATACGGAGGAAACTGAGACAGCAAACTTGCTTGAGGATCTTGAAAATCTTGAAAACCTGCATGGTTGTGTGTATTGTTTATGCTTACGGCCCGAAAACCGGCTCAGCGTTTTTGATGTTTTTTCCCGAGAGCGTCTGAGCGCAGGGTTCTTCCAATAGCGGGGGTCTGTAAGACATCTTCTCATCTTCTCATCTTCACATCTTCTCACATCTTCTCATCTTCACATCTTCTCATCTTCACATCTTCTCACATCTTCTCACATCTTCTTACATCTTCTCACATCTTCTCACATCTTCTCACATCTTCTAACATCTTCTCACATCTTCTCATCTTCACATCTTCTCATCTCACGCCCTCTCCTTCTTTTCGTAAGTCGTCCGGCGCAACCCTTTCGCACGAAATGAGGTTCGATCGCCAAAAACTTAAGTAAAATTGCGATTTGCAAGTCGTCCGGCGCAACCCTTTCGCACGAAATGAGGTTCGATCGTCAAAAACTTAGGTAAAATTGCGATTTCAACTTGTCTGGCGCAACCCTTTCGCACGAAACGAGGTTCGATCGCCAAAAACTGAGGTAAAATTGCGATTTCAACTTGTCTGGCGCAACCCTTTCGCACGAAATAAGGTTCGATCGTCAAAAACTGGAGTAAAATTGCGATTTCCGGGTTCCCGTTGCAACCTTTTCGCACGAAATGAGGGTCGATCGCCAAAAACTGAGGTAAAATTGGGATTTCCGGGTTCCTGTTGCAACCCTTTCGCACAAAATGAGGGTCGATCGCCAAAAACTGAGGTAAAATTGCGATTGTTTCTGTGTGTACAAAGCTTCTGTGTGCTGTGCGTCAAAGCTTCTGTGTGTAAAAGCATCTGTGTAAAAGCGTCTGTGTAAAAGCGTCTGCTTAAAAGCTTCTGTGTGCTCTGTGTAAAAGTGTCTGTGTGTAAAAGCGTCTGTGTGTAAAAGTTTCTGTGTGTAAAATCGTTTGCGTGTAAACGCTTCTGTGTGTAAAAGCTCCTGTGTGTAAAAGGGTCTGCGTGTAAAAGTGTCTGTGTGTAAAAGCGTCTGTGTGTAAAAGCGTCTGTGTGTAAAAGTTTCTGTTGTGTAAAAGTGTCTTTGTGTCAAAGCGTTTGTGTGTAAGAGTGTCTGCGTGTAAAAGCGCGTGTGTGTAAAAGTGTCTGTGTGTAAAAGTGTCTGTGTGTAAAAGCTTCTGTGTGTAAAAGCGTCTGTGTAAAAGCTTCTGTGTGTACAATCTTCTGTGTGTAAAAGCCTCTGCGTGTAAAAGTGTCTATGTGTAAAAGCTTCTGTGTGTAAAAGCGCCTGTGTGTAAAAGCGTCTGTGTGTAAAAGCTTCTGTGTGTAAAAGCTTTTGTGTGTAAAAGCGTCTGTGTGTAAAAGCTTCTGTGTGTAAACGCTTCTGTGTGTACAAGTGTTTGTGTGTAAAAGCGTCTGTGTGTAAAAGCGTCTGTGTGTAAAAGCGTCCATGTGTACAAGCGTTTGTGTGTAAAAGCTTCTGTGTGTAAAAGCGTCTGTGTGTAAAAGCGTCCGTGTGTACAAGCGTCTGTGTGTAAAAGCGTCAGTGTGTGAAAGTGCGTGTTTTTAAAAGCTTCTGTGTGTGAAAGCTTTTGTGTGTAAAGCTTCTGTGTGTAAAAGCTTCTGTGTGTAAAAGCTTTTGTGTGTAAAAGCTTCTGTGTGTAAAAGCGTCCGTGTGTACAAGCGTCTGTGTGTAAAAGCGTCTGTGTGTGTGAAAGCTTCTGTGTGTAAAAGTGTTTGCGATGCAAACTATTGTCTTGTACTTGTGCTATATCGTCTTGATACTCCTCTTCTCGACTGCCTATAACACATCTTTAATATATTGTTTTGTAATATGGTGTCTCCATACTAACAAGAGAAGACCCTGCTCCTCTACGCTCTCGGGCCATCCGTCGTCTAGTATCATTATGAGTAGTTGGACCACGGTTCAAAATTCGCCGTGTCGTTTGACATGTTTTAGTCACTAGTGTATTTTGCTTTATCTTTTTGCGTCGTTGCCGCGGGTGTTGGGGGGGTGGGTTGGGAGGGGTTTGGGGGGTGCGGGGGCGTAATAAGTTTCTTGTCTGTTGCTTTTTCAATGAATGAAAACGTTCTTGACTTGTCTTTTGGTGCTACATTGGAACTTGCTAGACGCTCGTGATGCTAATTACGTTGTTCACCTCTTCTTGGCGCTTGCACACGCCGGACGCTCTTGACGCTATGTTGTTAACTTCTTCTTGGAACTTGCCAGACGCTCATGATGCTACGTTGTTAACTTCTTCTTGGAACTTGCCAGACGCCCCTGATACTGCGTTGCTAACTTCTTCTTGGAACTTGCCAGACGCTCTTGATACTGCGTTGCTAACTTCTTCTTGGAACTTGCCAGACGCTGTTGATGCTACGTTGTTAACTTCTTCTTGGGACTTGCCAGGCGCTCTTGATGCTACGTTGTTAACTTCTTCTTGGGACTTGCCAGGCGCTCTTGATGCTATGTTGTTAACTTTTCTTGGAACTTGCAAGACGCTCATGATGCTACGTTGTTAACTTCTTCTTGGAACTTGCCAGACGCTCTTGATACTGCGTTGCTAACTTCTTCTTGGAACTTGCCAGACGCTCATGATGCTATGTTGTTAACTTCTTCTTGGA